CTTGATGTAAATCAGAGGTAAATTGTTTCTATCGCTTATATGAAGCATCCAATCATAGGCTGTTTAAATTTATATATACATATATATGCAGAAATAAAATTACATTTAAAAAAGATATATGCACATATGCTTCATACATACATAGCCACACACAGTCTAAGGATGCACAGTAAATGTAACACACTAAATGTGTGTGTATATATGTATGTATTTTATCACTTGTAACTCATTTATTTAGAAAATGTGAAAATCCAATGTATGTTCAAAGATAAAAATCAAGTACTGGAATGGGTACCCCCAAACCATTTTGGAAAGCCGTCTTCCAGATTTTTAAGTTTCTGTAGAATAAGTAATGATGATAAAGTATTTTTAACAGACACAGCTAATTCTCTGAAAGACTGTACTTCTTGTCTTCCCTAAAATAGAAGCAATCTCCTGCTACTAAAAATAAAAAAAACCATAGTTGATGGTGATGTTGGTAATTTTGTATAATTTGATAGCAAAGGAAATAATGTTTATTTTTGTTAAGTGTGGTTTGGTTGCGTTGTAAGGTGGGCTTGGGCCAGTCACTTAAGCTATGCAGCATGGCTTGAACAACAGAAGAACAGGAATTGCTAAAAGCCATGCCCCTGTGTTTTACAGATTGTTGGGGTTTGTTGTTATGTGCACATTACTGGACTTGTAACTGTTCAGAATTACAGAGCTCTTGGTATTACACTGGAGATTGGTGGGAGCTGTGGTCAGCAATCACATGTGAAAACTGAGATTACTTGCATCACTGTGCCTGTGAAGTGAAGATGATGGTGCATACAAACGTGTGAACAGCATGTAAGCATTATGCATTAAGGGAATGTAAATTAACTTTTCCAATGTTTGTTATTAGGGAGAAGATGTTGATCTTCATTTATATCTACCAGATTGTCATCCTAGTAAATATTCCCTTTTTATGTTGGTGAAGGATTGTCAGCCTAATAAAATCAGTCCTGAATCTTGTATTTCTGCTGAATGTCAAAGTGGTCAGAAAATGAGCAAACCCAAATGGAGGAACATTACTCAAGAAGAGTGAGTTTCAGTGTGATATATATTTATGTCTTTATACTGGCTCGTCATGTTTACTTACTTTGTGATGAAAGCAACCTTACATGTTCACGGAAGATCGTACTTGAAGTAAAAGTGTGATGTTCCTTTTTGAAAGGGCTGGATGGGTTGAATGCTGGACGGTCCCGAGTGTTGTGTTTACGATTGACTACTCATGGCACCCAATTTATCCTCAGAAGGCAGACGAGCAGTTAAAACAATCCTGTAAGTGGCACTACTTTTTTCTTGTTAGCATGGTTCATTTCAGGAACTGCTGTGACTTTGTTGAATCACGCTGCTTAAAACTGCAATAATGAATAGTGAACTGAACTCTTGTTATGTCACACATGGATGCTCATCTTCAGAATGCAGCAGGTTTGATTTAATAACTGACAGTATCTTGTGATGCAAAATATGAGGAAGTGTCCCAGTTGCCTGTGTAAAAAGAGGATGCTGTTTGTAGTTCACTTCTCCTTGTCCTTAACAAATCGGCTCTCTTATATGGGTTGTTGCATAACATAAATTATCATGTGGTATATTAAATATGAAGTACAATATTTGTGGCAGTATTGGGTTTCCTAGCCTTTCTAAGCTTTTTTCCTTTGGATGTTGTGATGTTGTCTTACGATTTAAATGTTCAAATACAGTATACATGAGAGAGATGTAGTAGCACTGTCTTACCTCTATGGATATGAAACTCTGCGATTCCGTTGTAGCTAACACTGTTGAAGTGAACCATGGCCGCCAGATAGGAGTGTTAGACTGGTCAGTCTGATGCTAATTTCCAAGCAAGAATTTTTTAATTTTGAATGTCTAAACTATTTCCAAATAAGAAATATTCTGTAAGTATGTTCTTGCAAAAAAAAAGTTATACTTGAAGGCAGAGGTAAAAGTAGGTTACTTTAAATGCAGGGGGAGGTATGCAGGAAGTTACGGGGTTATGTAAAGTCTTTCAGGTTGAGATAGTGGAAGCAGAACTGATGAAGGAGAGGTGTTAGAAGAATAATGCAGGCTAATTTGAATGTGCCTCAGTCAGCAGGTGTTGGAAGATATGCTGGATAGCGTCTTTAGGTTTCGAGTTCCAGCAATTCAAATATAAAAGAATTCATATTTTAGAGGATGAAGCAGAAAAAGTAAGATTCATCTTGCAGATGTTCATTAAGTACTCTTGTGAGATTGTCGGCTGTGTCAAATGTGCATACTTCAGATTTGAAAACATTTACTCCTAAGTGTAGCAATTGAAACTGCATTTGAAAGTTTGCACATACACAGGTAATTTCATCTGCAGCTTCCTTCAGTGAATAATCCAGCATGGTCCAGCTCACTTGTAATGCCATGCTGATAGGATGTGTTTGTTACAGTAGCAACATCTGCATTTCCTTTTGAGTCAATCGATTAGACTCTGTGTGTCTGAGAAGCAAATACGTTGCATAACAAAAGTGATAGCTTCCAAAAAAAGTGGTCACCTCACTGCAGCGTTTAGCTAATTTATAACACATAGACACTAATGGTAAGTTAAAGCCTTGAAGGTTTGCTGGCTAGGGATGCGTGTTCACTGTGGTTCTGTATGTGCCAGTTCTTCCAGTTAAACTGGACTCTGAATCTTTCTCCAACTGGAGCAACAATTTTATATGGTTTTCCCATAGAGTTCTTTACTACCCAGTAATCACTTTACATCCACAAAGCACTTCCAGTTACCGACTTCCTTCTCGTCGCCTTTCCTCACTTAAAGACAAAGCGTTCTCCTCTCTGTAACTCCAAATAAAAAGAAGAGATAGGAAATAATATTTGAATTTCCAACCTATTTTGTGACTAGAGTAATTTGAGTTGTTTGAGAGGAAATTTTGGCCTACAGAGCCACTGGTTCAGAGTAGGTTTTTAGTATAACTTTTGCAATTCTCATGTTTATTCACTTTGTCTATTGTGCAGAAGTTGTGTGGTTGTGGGAAATCTGCTGCACTGAAACAGCAGCACATCTTCGTTTGACTTGAACAGCAAGATAAAGAAGTCGATTCCCTCCCCCCACCCCCGAACTCGATGGATTGTTTTTCTCTGGCATATTTAACATTGACTAAAATATTACATATTTTCCTGTCTTCTCATAGTTACTAGATATGTGAAATCAGTTCTGTAGCACAGACATATTAACATAATTATACAATCCAAATAAGAAAGCTGCAAAAAGTTGTATATTTAATTCACATTCATATTTGCAGAATTTTGTCCCTCAGAAACCTAACTTGTAATCAAAAATCTGTTTTCTTCTTTGCTTTGCACCAAAGTGTCAGAAATGGAAGAAACCATGTTATCTGTGCTAAGGCCATCGCAGAAAACAGCCGACAGTGTGATTTCATCTCCCACAGCTTCAACCCGTCTTCCCCTTGACCCCTCAGAGCTGCCCCCGGATAAGCTCCATGTGGAACTGGAACTCTCCCCAGATTCCCAGATAACCCTGTATGGACCCCTGCTCAAAGCCTTTCTGTCCATTAAGGTAGGCATAGGAGCACAACTCATAAAGTCTATGGGTGGACATGTGTTGGAAAGGGAAATAATTTGTTTCAAATGTAAAATCAGAATTCTGCTGAATATGTGAATTTAGATGAAAACTTTTTGTAAGTAGTAGTGTGGAGTGACTTTGATATGGCGGAGCTGGGATGAATTCTGTTGGCACAGGCTTATGAGAAGACTTCCAATGTGTATATGCAGACCCGTATCAGTGTGATTTTCCTGGACTTCCAAGCACACGGGTACTCTTTGCTCGCTTGTGCTGCAGACTTGTGCCTACAAAAGAACAAAGAAGTTTTGGAAGGCAAATGAGGCACAGAAAAGGCAAGGAGGGAGGCAAGAAACATCGTAAGATTCAAACCTGTTTCAGTTCAGTCTTCAGGCTAGTACTCACATGTCAGCATCTCACAAATCACCAGTCGAGTTTGTAATAGTTGGAACGTTTTTCTCCACATGAGAGGCCGAGGGACTGAATGGCTTTCTAAGAACGAATGAGGGAGCAACGTTTGTGTCTGTGTTGTAACCTCTTTGGTCAGAAAAGATTCTGTTCCACAGAATGCTTAGTCCCCAGTGATTCCCATAAACTGAATTACCAGGAAAATACACCTGCATTATTCAGAAAATCATCCTTGAGAGTCTAGTCTTTTTTTTTTTTTTTTTTTTTTTTTAAGGAAGGGAGAAGGTGCCAAATGATCACAAAACTGATTCTGATGCACTTAATAAAAAAAACACAGGGAGTTGATTTTTATTGTTAGTTAGTGATGGAATTTCTGTTTCCCAGCAGAATTCAGCGAAGTTACTTTGGTCTTCGATAAGTGAGGGGGATTGGCTTAGAAACATAGTGGTTTTAGACCTGAGAGGAGAAATGTTTATGAACTAGTATTTCAGAAGCATGTTTAACACTTTGAAATCTGCTGTTAACAAGTTTCAGAAAGTTGGACGAGAGTGACTTCCTGCAGGATGCTTTGTGTTCTTACTCCCAGTTACCTATCTTTAAGAGGACAAAATCTGTTTAAAATGTCAGCAGTAGTACTTCAGAATTGTTATTTGTATTGCATGCATCTAAAGTACTAGTATTTTGAGAACTGCTGAAAGCCCCTTCTTTTCCCCCAAGCACAATGTCTAAATGGCTCATTAAAGGTTTATTTTTCATAAAATGAAAGTACATATGTTTCTTCCCCTATAGTTTGTAGCTATACCACTTATTTTAGGGAGGAAACATACAGGAAAATGTTGGATTTGCATTTCATTACGTTGCCTATATGTTTTTAATTTGTTTTCCATATGGTCATAACAATTCCTTTTCCTAGGAAAATTATTTTGGGGAAGATGACATGTACACTGATTTTGAAGAAGTTATTTCAAGCCCTGTTTTGTCACTGTCAACTTCTTCAAGCTCGGGATGGACAGCCGTCGGAGTGGAAAATGACAAAAAAGAAAATGAGAGTTCAGTCAAGCCAGTTCATCCTCTTACTTTACGCCCATGGGATATCACTGTGCTTGTTAATTTGTACAAAGTGCATGGGCGATTACCAGTGGTAAGTACTTTAGAATCTTAAAATACTCTCCTTCATGTGGTAGTGCTGTGTTGGTGGTGGGTTTTTGTTTGTTTTTTTTTTTTCTCCTTTTTCTTTCTAGTTTCATAAGCTGGAGTTCAATTTAACTTCCTGGAACATTAAGTTATAGTGGTGTTTACCAAAGTGTATGTATACTCTACTAAAATTATGGGTATCTCAACTAATTTGAGACACTATTTATTTTGCTTATCTGGATTTTTAATATGATTTTTATTCAATGAACTTGATTTATTTGATAATATTTTCAATTGACCATTAAGATTTCTCTGCTAATTATCAAAACTGTCTTCCAATGGTGCATTCTGCTCTGTGCCTTGTGAGGGATCCCCAGGAATTCAAATAAGAACTCAGCTCAATAATTGGGTTCTCCCAAACAGGTTTGTATTGCTGTTCATGTAATTCTTGTGAGGTTTTTGAAATTGCATGGGCTTCTTTTTGAGTATCCACTTGGAGGAAAATTAGCATACTGCCTGCTCACAGGTTTGCCTCTAGCCTTACAGTTTCAACCATGTTGTGTATTTTCAGTTTCCCAAACAGATGTGCTTAATTTTTATTGTAGCATTGCAGTCCAGATGGTCCTGAGTGCCCTACAGCTTTCTTGGAAAGGCTGTGTTTTGAGATGAAGAAGGGATTTAGAGAAACAATGCTTCAGCTTGTACTGTCTCCAGTGAATTTGTTTCTGAATGACAACTATCAGGTAGCAAGCTGTTTTTTATGTGTTTGTGTTGTGAAAGTTGGGATAATCTTAAAATTAATTCTCTTTTGTTAGGGACTTTACTGTTGTATGCACACAAAGTTTATTAAGGCTTATGACTCATGAGGGGTATTAAAAAAAAATCTGATGCTTTTTTTTTTTTAATCTTTCTTTCTGCCCAGTTTGCGTTTTAGTGAAATGCACAAAAGAAAATACTGTATTTATTTTGCTTAAAATCTTTCTGGAGAAGGTTCTGTGAGAAACAGTAACATTCAGACTGGTCTTAGAACCATTGAGTGATCTCTGGTTTATGCATGGGGTTTTTTTGTTTGTTTTGCGTGTGTTTCATTTTGGTTTTTTTTTTAACAATTTGGTTTTCAAAGATACTGTAAATACTGACACATGTAAATTTTGTGCAGCGACAGGATATGTTGTGCTTTTCTAATCATATAGTTTTAAAACTGCGTGTAAATAGAATAACTGCAGCTTTCATATATTAACTATGACTTTTACTGGGCTAAATCACACAGCTAGATCTGTGTCTTACAGTGAAAATATTGTTATGACCTACAGTCTTCCTCTTGTGGGGGAGTCATGAGCCAGACGTCAGAAAGTTCTTAATGAGACAAAGTTAAGTGTTGTTTGTGCCTCGTCAGCTAGCTGTATGCTACTTCAATTTTAGTAAACTTGCAAAAATTGCTATTCATACGGATGAGTTTAGCTCGGCAAGGAGTTTAGGCTGAAATTTGTTAACACAAGAAGTTATCCTGATTCAGTGGAGGTTAATGAATAGTTGGAATTTGCATTTTCTTTATGCACGTATTAGTTGCATTAAAAGTCTGAAGATACTTAGACTGGACATTACAGATTATATTGTTTTCAATCCCTATGTCCTGAAATACATTGCTGGCAATGGTCTGTATAAAATAAAATTTAAATTATTTTTATATTATGTACATTCCAGGTATTGAAAACTGGAATGCTATACATAGATGAAGATGCATGTCACCCTACTTATTTTACTCTTATGTCAGTAAGTTAATGAAAGAAGTTGGTGGATACTTGTTTAGTTTTTCCAAATTTGGATTCAGTGTGCCACAAGCACAAAAGTACCTTAAGTGTAACCACTGACTGTGTCTAATAGGAAAAGGAATTGGAAGTAATGATCAACTTTCTAGATGGCAAAAAGTTAAATGACATTTTAGGACACTGCATGTTAGCCCTTATATTCTGAATATGTCATTCTGTCAACCTCTTATTAGTAAAGAATAAATCTGAGATGAGAATGTAGAATCTAAACGTCTTGCTTTTTTGGTTGCAACACTGCAATTGTCTTTAGCAGCAATCTGCAAAACGTGATGTTGTGAAGTTGCTGGAAGTTCAGATGCATAATCTATGTGGGATTAATAGGGTTGTCTGTAGGGAGAGCTGCAGAAATTGGATGTACTGACAGCATGTTGGCAGACAGAATTCCATTTTTTCTCACACCTTTTGTCAGGAGCAAAGTATCCAGATAGCAGGCTTGTTTTTCAATTGAATGAAGTTGTCAGAAGGTGCAGCTGAACCTGAGAATTACAGGTCGAACACACAAACCTTTGTGTAATGAAAAATTGCATCTGATGAATTTCTAGTTATGTTATCCAAAGTGCTGGAAGGTTTTTGTGTATCCTTTTTGTGGGTTTTTTAATTGTTTGTCCTATGCGGAATGCAATCATTTGAATAGCTGCTTATTTGAGAACACACAATCTATTTTGTGCGCTGAATGAGACCTTTAAAGGTTGTTCAAACCTGTAGCTTAATTATTGTATTGCAAATCATATGTACAAGGAAGCAGAAGTGAAGTTGCAGACAAAACCTTAATTTAGGGGATTTTTTTTTTTTTTAAATGATTTAATTTCACAGCCCTGAGGCTTTTTGCATGACTTTCAGTTTTCTTACTATTTAGACTTTGTAATGCTGTGGTTACATATTTTGCCTTAGGTTTTGTATGTTCGTTTGGCTGGATTTATATTAGTTCAGAAACATTAACTCAGACTAGTAAGGCTTCTGCCTGGGAATTTCTGTTGGTTGAAATGACAAAACACGCAGGGTACCATGTTTCTAAAAAAAAAATATTGTGAAGGTTTTGATCAGTTATGCCTGTTACTATTACCTGGTGACTTTGTATTAATTCTTGCCATTTAATGTTGGAAACATTCATATTTTGGGTTAAGGAAAAAAAAGAGAAAGACCCTTTATTCACATTACCTATCTCAAAAGTGCTGTTTGATACTTCCCAGTTCAACCTGAAGGTGAGAAGCTCATAGTACTAATGTATGTAGAGCAGGAATTGTACCTCTGCCTAGCTGGGCAAGTATCCTCACTTTGTGTTTACCGTTGATGCTGTTTTGGAACAGCTTCTGAATGGAGACATAGGTCACCACTGATATCAAAAGAGCAGGGCATGTTTCTTCCTTGTTAAGTAACTCCAAAGGATTTGCTGGCAGTGGAAGACAAACCAAGCAGGATAACCAGCTGAAAAAACTGAATGAAAGAGATGTTTTGGTGTTGACTTACTGGCTTTAAAACACAGCTTTACCTCCATGCAGTCAGAAGCTTCTAGTGTATGTCTGCACTGTTTTTATATTTTCAGTTTCTTTTCTGGCTGGTGGAGTAATAATCTTTTGAAAAGTATTGTATCTGAATTTTCACATCTGCAGACAAATAGCTTTGCTTTAGGTAGCCAAGAAATATTTCAGTGGGAAGTACCACTTGGAGAACAGCCTCTGATATTTGGTGGTGTTTTGGTTTTTCAAATTTATTAATTTTTTTAATATAATGTGTCACCTTTCTGTTAGTAGCAAACCTTCATAATTTAGGTTTTTTAATCTCTTGATCACTTCCATTGTTAAATGTGCTCTTCAATTCTCTGTTAGTGTCTTATTGCAGTAATATTTAACAGGTGGTGCCCATATGTCAATGTGTGGAGTTCACCAAGGGAAAGTTGTTGATGAGGGTTGCTAAAAATGAAAACAAACTTGGGTTAGATACACCTCCCTCTCCCCTCATTAAGATTTGCATATATGTTATTGTGTGGGTAACACTGGGAAGCCTTGGGACTGTCCAGCTCTGCAAGAGTCACCAGGATTGAAGAGGGGAAGATGAATGTGTATGAACTATCTCTGGTTACACAGCCTTTACACTTCTTATTGATGTGTTCATTGAAATATTAGCTTTAACTTCCTTGTCCTTGGCAGCGCCCTGCAGTGGATGAAGTGCTTCGGGAGGGTCACATCAGCCTGTCAGGGCTGCAGCTGCGTGCTCACGCAATGTTTTCAGCGGAAGGTCTGCCTCTTGGAAGCGATACCTTAGAATATGCGTGGCTGATAGATATACAGGCTGGAAGTCTTACAGCCAAAGTTACAGCACCACAGGTACCATCTAGAAACTACTCGCTTTGCAATGATACCTTTCTTCTTGTAAAACTGGCGTAGCATGGATTTTGGAAAGCATATCATCTCAGCTGAATTTTAATGCATCTGTGCATTAAGGACCCTTAATTTTATAGTTTGTTAATCTAATCCCTTCTGTAAATGGATAGGAGATGCCAAATGAGCTGAATCTGATACTCATCTTAAATATAGGTGTTACAGGGTGGCTAGCATTATATGAGATTTTGAAGGGATGACGGTGACAGGACATGAAGTTACGCTAGTCTGTATTGTCACCACAGATAAACACATGTATGTTACATCTGTGTATGTTAATGTAATTTAATACTGATTAAAAAGGCACAAACACAGTAACTACATACACTGTAAGTGGATTGATTGCAGAGTAAATAATACTCCTTTGTAAACAGAGCAGGTCTTTTGGGATACCTTCAACCATAAACAAGGTAACATGACAAAGAGGAGAAAGGAAGATGCATTAAGAATGTTAAGTATGAGATGACCTAGTTGTCTGTGTCTTCCTCTAAGGTTAGAGGAATTTATTTTATGATGCTGACTTCTGGAGATGCAGGTTTGTTACCCCTGCTGGTTAACTCTCTGGGAAGGACAAATGAAGTATTCAGTTGTGATTGCAGTCTGAAAGGCAGTTTGATATCCCTTGGATGTAAGGGTCCTGGAGATATGTAAGCACTTGCATGAAGGGATGCTGCCAGCAATAAGGATATCAAGTTGAGCATCTGGCAAGAATTCAGCTTGCAGATCAAGTCCTGGCTTTCCATAGAAAGCTATGGACAAAGCCATGCTTTGAAATAGGAGACAAATGAGGTAATTTGTGGGAGTATAGTATGGGCAGGCTTCACCAGGAGAGTAGCTGGTAGCTCAGTCATGCTGCTCACTGGATAAATTCTGATGCTTGGTCCCACTGGAACATAGTTTGCTTTCAGTGCTGGATTTTCTTAGATCAGTCTTAGCACTAGCTCCTTTCAGTTTTGTCATTTATGTTACTATTAATTTCCAGATACAGTAATGGCTCCGAGTATACAATAGGCAGATCACTTTGATTTATTTCTGGTGTGGGCTGCCAGATCTTTAAAAAAGGTTGCTTTGTCAGTGTATTCTGAGACATGAGAAAAGTAAACAAATTCTATTAAGTAGTTGCATATTTATAAATTTTTGAAAGACACTTCTACATCCTCTTATTCCTCTAAAAATTAGTGTTATTTTCTACCATTAAACACATACTTCAGTGGGAGACTTCTGCAGCAAATAAAGTAAAGCATACAAGCAATTTCATTAAATCTAAAGAATAGACTCCAAATGCGTATTCATGCCAAATATACAGACTTTTGTGGTGGTATTTCTTAAAGTGCTACCACTGATTTAGATAAGCTATAGTATTTACTCCACTGCTGTATGCTTCAAAATTAAACGTAGTTGATTCAAAATACTCTCAAGTGAGAGAACATTTCTAAATGCTTGGTGCAACTCAAGGATTTTCTTCCCTTACCAAGCCATTCTAATTTTTGTGCTTCATACAGGATTTTTATTTAATTTTATTTTTTTTTGTCGGCACTGCAATGGAGCAGAACTTGATTTTGCTTTTTCAGGGTCGTTGGCTTTTTTCCTTCCATTATGTGATGCCCTGCAAGAATTTGTGTAGGGACAACACTAAAGGGAGGAGGAGAGATTTTGTGCAGGACAGTCATAGATGTATTAAATTCCATTTAAATTACTGCTGATTTTAAGTGCCCTTTCCTTTGGCTAGCCAGAGAAAACACATTTCCCTCTCATAATAGAGACAGACAGTCATGAATCATTTCCTTTATGAATGAGCTAACTGTATAAAAGATTTAAATCAACAATAGGCTAATTGCTAGGTCTAGCAAGATTCAGCAGTGTTCTGTTTAGCCAGTTTCCTCCTATGCTTTCTAAATGTAACTTTTGTTACTTAATGTACAAGGAAGCCTGGCATTTAAATTATGAATGGTAATAGAGTATGGAGGTAAAATAAGAGGAGCTCTTGACAATGACATTCTTGGTTGGCTGTAATAGCAAAAGCTGTTTCCTTATATTAAGAAATAGTGTAGCAAATTGTTTAATGTCACAGTGTTTTCCATGGAAAACGAGAAACTTGCATGTCGTGGCATGCACAGAAATAAAAATCAGTCTTGAGTAACAGGTAATAGACTAGGTGTAAGCAAGGTAATGCAGCCCCAGTGTCATTGTGGAGTGTTACTTGATTTTACTCCTGCTCACCTGAGGTGATGTTCTCAGATGTTCAGTACTCTGCTGAATACTGAAAGTTCATTTCGTGTGCTGGCTCTTAGACAACATCTTGTTATTTGCTTGCAGCTTGCATGTCTTCTGGAATGGGGGCAGACCTTCGTTTTTCATGTGGTGTGCCGGGAGTTTGAGCTGGAAAGGCCCAAGTCTGTAATAATATGCCAGCATGGAATTGATCGTCGTTTTTGTGACTCTAAGGTAACCTTTCATCTGTCTTAATTGCTCGCTATATTTGCACAGGTTCTTTGGACCAGTTTAGAAATCCAGCCTTAAAGTTATCAAGACACATGGAGTGTATAGCCAGATTGGCTGTTCCCTTTGATAAAGTACAGCTAATTATGTTTTAGAAAGATTGTCTTTGGATTTTCCTGTGGTTACACATAACATTCTTGGGCACTCTGAATTATTTTGAGAAACGGTACCCCCAGAAGTCATGTCTAGTTTCTTACCTCTACTGTGACAGTTAAGAGGCAAAGGGCATGCTCCAGTATCCCTTAAGAGACAAAGGTCCTACCTGCTCCTGGCACTTAAGCACGGTACTTTTTCATCCCACATCCTCTCTTTATGTATTTATATATATACATGTATATAAATTGCCTATCAGCATATTGATAAATATTCTTTGGAACCACTCTGGGAAGCAGTGCTTTGATGACAGCTCATAGCTTACATAGACCCTTTTTTTTTCCTTTTTTTTTTCCCCTAAAAAGAAAAAAACAAAATCAAAAAACCCCCCAATGGTGGGACTCTTACTTAACCATTGTGTCACTGTGGATTCTGCATTTGGTGTTTGTCTCTGGAATCCTTGTGTACAGTCACTTGAAGACCAAAGGAGGCCTGCCATATGTACTTAATCATATATTAAGTATGATTCCTGGATTTCATCTCTGAACATCCTGCTTGTTTTGTTCCAGTGTTTGTGATGTTCCCTATTAGCAGACTTGATTTGCCTTTTTCTGGTGGAAGTCAGGAGAGCCAATTGGGTGCCCTGATATTGCTGGACAGAAGAATTAAACATGCACTAGTGAAATTCTATGCCGCAGCACAGAAACACCCCATCTCATACTCATGTTGATAGTGTAGAATAAGTAACTTTTTATTGTTCTAGTTTTAGGCCTCTGTTAAACAGAACATAAATAAAAGGATAAGCACAAATTAAACTCCTAATATACGTTTAAATTTTTTTTTCCTCTTTTTCTTCAGATGAACTGTGTCCCTGGGCCATGCCCGACATCTGATGACTTAAAATACACCATGACACGCTTAGCCATGGATGGAGCAGATCTGTACGTGGTAGAACATGGCTGTGCCACCAATATAAAGGTGAAAATGTTTCTCATAACAGAAATTAAAATACTTTTTGTTAATAGAGTTCTCTAGTATTTTTTTAATATAATAGCTACCTGATTTTATTGCTTGCTTACATCCAATGGGCTAACCAACATTTCTGAAACTTTAAGTGATAGAAGGTTGTCTTGAACTTGGCCATGAGTAGGACAATTTGGCTTCTGCTTTGTAATTCCATTTATGACCTTGGAAAATGGTAAGGAGGAGTGGATGTCTGCCAGAAAGAGCAGTGGAAGCTGCAGGATTGGTGTAAAAAAAAAAATTAAAAACGACTAGGCAATATAAATCGCAGTGTCTGTACCTGAGGGCTAGTAAGAAGTTGTGTTAAGTCAGAAACTCAGCAACTGGAAATGATCGATGCGGATTGTGCACAAGTCAGTGTTTCATAACTCATGTCTTAGTGATACAGCTGTTTGAATTAAGATATATCCTTGGTAGAGATGGGAGAAGTATTAGTGCCACTGCCTGACTGAATCTAGAATACTGCATGCTCTCTGCAAAAAAGAATGTACAGAAAAGAGCTGATACTCTCTCCATTATCCTAGCATATAAGAGAAAAGTAGAAAAATTGACTCAGTGTAGCCAAACCTAAGTTAAGAGACAGCTGAGTTGTGGTAACAACAGAAAAGGAGAATAGTGTTATGCTGGTGTGATTAGTAGCTGTGCTGTCCATTAATTAATTCAGTTTTAAATGGTAGCCTTAATATGTAATGTTTTGGGGACAAACCACGTTATGAGCAAGAAACTAACTGAAGGAAAGTGGCAGTTCTGTTAGACATTTTTTTAATGACACGATATCTTGTAATTTGAATTATTTTAGAAATTTTATTTTTGTTGTTTAAAAACTGTCTGAAACTAATTTCTAAGCTTGCCTTCTTTTGTGTGTGTGTGCATGCTTGTACATAAAACTGGTTGTCTATCTTTTTTTGAGAGAATATTTTACCGAGATCTTTCTGCCATGTGGTAGGTGGTGTGCTAACTGGTTTAAGGCTACCCTTTCTTTGTTTCGCTCATGATTAATCAGAGTTCATGTTTTAAATTGATTTTTCAGATGGGTGCTGTACGTATTGCAAACTGTAACCTCCACAACCAGTCTGTTGGAGAAGGTGTAAGTGCTGCTATTCAAGATGTTCAACTGAGACAATACGTTGAGCAGGTGAACAATTGCAGAACTGGTCTTCAGCCAATATTAAGGAGGGCTTATTGGCTGGAAGCTGGCTCTGTCAGCTTGGGGCTCATCACTGCTGACATTGCTTTGGCTGCAGATCATCCTTCTAAACATGAAGTGCAGAGACATTTCTTAGAAACACATGATAACCGAACAAAGAGGTAAGAGATACAATTGAAAGAGATGCATTTCAATTTTTTGCAGGTGTAAGTTAACACATTCATCTAAAGATGGAACGTCCGTTTTGCCTTCTGGGAGTTTTTTGCTCACACAGATTACAATATCTTTTTTTTTTTTTTTTTTTTTTTTTTTTTTAGTTTTTTTCAAGAATGTTGAATGTTTAGCTATGAGGTTCTGGTTTGAATGTGCTTGGACTGTGAAAAATTGTATGATTTTTGGCAAAACTTACTTTTCCTTCTGCCTTCCCTTGTCCCACAAAATGAAGAATAGGGAGAGGAAGGAATCAAATTTGTCCTTTGTTGGACTGAAAACAGACCTTAGAGAGTCCTGATCAAGCAGCTGTGAACAAGATGCCTGGTGAAACTGTGATTTGTGCATCTCCCCAAAGCCCAGTTGCCTGTGGCATAAGCAACATACACTGGTGTGGAGTGTGTTTGCAGTGCTTGCTTCTGTGCTGAGAGGAAGGGTTGTTACTCTTAGCGGGTATTGTGGCAGGTGGACAGAATCTGTGCCTGAGCACTGCATATGCATTTCTGATTTGCTCCTTTCTGGAGCCAGTACTTCATTTTATGTCTGACATCTGTGCTTCAGATACAAATCTTACTCATCTCATGCTGGGTGAAGTAGGAGATTACATATGAAACAAGGATATCTTTTAATCTTGTTTTCACTGAATTTAAATGTACTGAGGCTGATGTGGTCATGTTTTTGTTTTGTTTTCTGTTTTTCTGCCTCTGTTTAGGTTGTGGTTTTTGTGGCCTGATGACAATTTGCGGAATAAGAGGAGCAAGAACAAGTGTGGCTGTCTTGGTGGCTGTCGATTCTTTGGTGGCACGTTAACGGGACTAGATTTTTTCAAACTTGAGGAACTGACACCTTCAAGCAGCTCTGCTTTCTCAAGTACAAGTGCAGAATCTGATATGTTTTATGGGCAGTCTCTACTGCAGCCAGGAGAATGGATAATTACTAAGGAGATACCTAAAATTTTAGATGGTGAGAATGCATTTTACTGTAATCTTACTCTGTTTTGCCCAAAAGTATAATTTTTAACTGCACACTAGTACTGGTAGTCTTTCCCATTCTGGTTAATTAGTTGTGGTTGTTGCGCCCTTGTACAAGAGGTCTTGCAGTGGCATGGGCCCTTCTGAGACCAGACAGTAGCTTGATAATTAGTGAGCAAGCTTTCATATGCTGAATTTGAACATGCATCTCTATTCTGAGGAAATGGAAGTTTCTTGATTTGCACGTGTTTTACTTCTATAGAAAAGCAGTCTACAAAGACTATTTGATGTTTTGCTGCTATGACTCGATTCATTTTTGTTGACACAACATGCTAGTATGTGTATGCATTTCAAAACTAGGGCTTTTGTGTAATAAGGATTCTTATTTTAGTAGGCAGGAAAGAGACCCTTGCAGTCACATTATCAGATGTTCAATTTGTCATTTCTGTTTTTGATCCTAGGTAAAGCAAATGGTGTAAAACGAAAAGATTGGGATTGCAGGTCTGTGGGTATAGAAATAGAAAGAAAAACACAACATCTAAGCCTACAAGTGCCATTGCGCTCCCACAGCTCCTCGTCATCTTCGGAGGAAACGAGCAGTTCTAGTGCAGCACTGCCCTTGCTTGCAGGTGAGAAGGACAGCCCTTTGTCAGCTACTGAGGATCACTTGGGACAGAAGGAGTTCTTGCCTGGTGCAAAAAGGGAAGATGGTCATGGAAGGTTAGTACACTTTATCCAGGTAGAAGTGTAATTTGACTCTTGAACTCATTATGACAGAAAAAACCTTATATTTTTATTTTATTATATGTGAAGTGGGAATTTTTTTTTATGATTAATGAAGTGTTGCTTATTTTTTAATGGTACTGCTGAAATGCGTTTCTTAGTTTGAATACAAGTTTGGATCCCTAATAGGGGATGATTACCTGATCTGGTTAGAAAATCCAGCATAAAAAACAATACTTGCCGTTAGTATTCGTTTTTACATGCTTTGTGTATCGACAAGTGGACTAACAAGTGGCAGAATTTACTATGTCATCAGCATTATGAAAATAATTGCTGTGCTAATAGAAAGTCACAGAATCACTGAAACATTTGGCAGATCCTCTAATGTAAAAAGAGAAGCATTAGTAATAAGATAAGCCAATAAACCTTTCATTTTATTTCCAGTGTTGCAGTTGAGGGTGCAGAGGGCAGCCCTGCATCCCCTGGCAACCAGGAAAGGCCTGTTGGCCAGTCTCCTCTGAGGTCCCCACTGAAACGGCAAGCATCTGTGTGCTCCACCCGGCTCGGGAGCACCAAGAGCCTCACAGCAGCCTTCTACGGAGACAAGCAGCCTGTGCCCGTTGGTGTGCAGTTCAGCAGCGATGTGTCTCGCAGTGATGAGAATGTCTTGGACTCCCCGAAGCAGAGGAGGAGCTTTGGTTCATTTCCGTATACTCCATCTGCAGATTCAAACTCATTTCACCAGTATCGCTCCATGGATTCCAGTATGTCAATGGCTGACAGCGAAGCGTATTTTTCTGCAGCTGAAGAGTTTGAGCCAATCAGTAGTGATGAAGGTCCAGGAACCTATCCAGGGAGGAAGAAGAGGAAAAAGCAAGCTCAGAAAATTGAATACAGTAGAGGGTCTATTTATCACAGTGTGGAAGGGCCCTTAACGAGCACAATCCATGGAGAAAGTAGTCAAGATGTTAAAACATTGCCAATTAAGACTCATCCTTCCCAGGCTTCATTTGTTTCGGCTCTGGGAGGAGATGATGAGCATGTTGAGAACATTTATGTCATGGACTCTGAGAAGACTGTGGAAAGTGAGCAAATAACTTCCCAGCAGCCTGTAATGGCATGTTACCAAAATTACCTTACACAGTTCCAGGTGATCAACTGGTCAGTAAAGCATCCAACTAACAAAAGAACTTCAAAATCCTCATTACATCGCCCTTTAGACCTGGACACACCGACAAGTGAAGAAAGTTCATCATCGTTTGAGCAACTTTCTGTCCCAACTTTTAAGGTATGGAAGGTGGAGGAAGGAGGAGTAGAGAAAGGATTAAGAATTCAAAACAAGTTAAAATTGCTTAGTACACCCCTGTTGTGTATTTAAAGCTGTGAGAAACTTGAAACTGCTTTCAGTTAAGAAATACCTTGAATTTCTGACTTCAAATCATGGGCTGTGTGAATGGGAGGTTGTGAAAAAGAAAAGCTGGAGTTAGAATTCTGTGGATGTGCGTTCTGAGTTGTCATTATTGCACTTAAAAATGCTGCCTGTTGAATGCTGTGTAGATGAACAGTATTTATGCGTTTAGTTTAAAATACATGTTTCACAGAACTTCATTAGCAGTATGTCTAATATTGATCAAGTATTTTTTTTTACTTCAAAGTAAAGTTGAAACTCATAGATTTAGCAAATGGTTTTTGTAAATGTTGGGCTTTTTTTTTCTTTGTGATGTATGTGATACGAGCATACATGCTTAAGCTGGAATTAAATATATGAAAAATCATGGAAATGATAGCAAATAGGTGTCTGACCTCTGGAATTTAATTTGTTATCACTTTGCAGCACAAGATCTATGTTCATGCAAGCCTTTTGTAGATTAGTATTTTGAGTCTTTTTTAAGAAGCAATTAGTCACTATTTATGTCTAAAAACTGTAATCTAATCTCTCAAGTCGTTTCAAAAGAGTAAACCTAGGATTTTCTGTATTCTGTATTGGAGAATCTGCATATGAGGGTTTCCTTTAAGAAAAAAATATCTGTATGGAGAATCTTTATTTGAAGATTCCTTGGGTATTTTTGTCATATATAGAAGGAATACAATAAATTTCTTTGCACTTTCATCTTAGATTGTTAAACAGGGTCTCACAGCTAATTCGTTACTGGACAGAGGCATGCAGCTTACAGGATCAACATCTAAGTAAGTTGAATACTGCGTAACGTTATTGGCATATTTTTTAAGAGTAGGATTTTCCTCATACGCTTGTTAAATATTTTGGCATTTGCTTGCCCATCCAAACTTTGATTGTAGCAGTAGTTTTCAGTACAGATCTATTTTAGAACAGAAGAATCTATTATAAAATGTTTGGGTTTGGTCAAAAAGAAGGAACACCATGACAGCAGTAAATGATTTCACTCGTACATTTTCAAGATTATGAATTGCAACTTAATTTAATTTGGGAGGTGCTTATGGCAAGTGTCTGTTGCATTGCCGAAAGCGAAACTTGACTCTAGGGAAGGACATTGCACTGGGTCTGTGTTTGTGTATTTCCTGAGCTGTGTGGTAGAAGAAACCTGCCATTATGAAACCTGCGTTTTATGAAGAATTGAAATGATACCAGGATACTTCTGTATTTCTTTTACAAATCTAGATTATTAATATGTATTTGACTTGTTTAGTACACCTTATACTCCTTTGGAAAAGAAGTCTGCAGAAAATACAGATGATGAGACAATAACAGAAGAATGGACGTTGGATCACCCCGTCTTCCAGACACGGACAACGGCAATAGTAGAAGTGAAAGGAACTGTGGATGTAGTTCTGACTCCTCTTGTAGCAGAGGCACTGGATAGGTAATGAATTTTGCTTTTATTTTTGCAATATTAATTGGTTATACGAAAAATGTTCTAAAATCAAAGCTGTTTTGTGCAGCAAAGGTTAGCTAAAAGGATTGAGTAATGTGACGGATGGAACAGTAGGGTGTTGTACCTAGGGAATGTAATTCTGCATTTCCTATGAAGAAGCTGAAAGAATGTTACGCTCACCTGGGAGGTGCCCTTTATGCCTGTCAGCGCCTAATTTTTCTCTTTGCTGTGTTAAGTACACGTTATAGGTGGTCTGTCGTGCAAAACTGGAAGTTTAAGGGGTCTGTTGTGGGCTTGTTTCCTCTCACAGGTATATAGAAGCAATGGTGCATTGTGCTAGCTCTCGACACCCAGCAGCAATCGTTGATGATCTGCACTGCAAAGTTCTTCGAGATGCTGTACAGAACAGCAAAACAAGCTTCTCAGAAAATGTAAGAACTGGAACAAGAAAGATGCACAAAGATTTGAAAGAATATTGTTTTCCGTATTTTACATACAGAAATGTTTCAATTGAATTCCGTGTTTTGAGATACAGTAGCTAAATGCTGTATTAATTTGGAAGGCACATTTTTTTCATGTGTGTAATGTATGTGCATTTTTATAATCAACTCTTACATACTGCCTTTCGGTGACCACAAATCTCTCTTATAGGATTGAAGTGGAATTTTTCTATTTTGGATGGGTGTGCCAGTAGCTACAGTAATTTGCATGAGACCATGTGTTCTGTTCTTGAAATTACTGTAACCGATTCCTTATGTATTATGTTCATATCAGCAATACATCATTTATTATGGACAGTAGTTAGGGAGATAGTTTTGGTGAGGGAAAGTTCAAACTAAGCTGTGAAAGTGCATGTGTTTTTTCTTTGCAGTTCATCTGATATCTTGAAGAATCAGCTTAGCTTGAAAAGAATTGTATGGTAGTTCTACAGAATTGGGTGTTATTTTCTCTCCAGTTAATGACACTATCTGTATTTTATAATTTCTTAGACTTCACGGTGTAACAGACACTAATGACTTCATAAGAAGTTGTCCTGTATAACTTCTGTATGTAGAACTCGCACTTGGAGCTGAAATCGGGTCGTTAGAAAGTTTGTTGCAGTAGGGCATTGCTGCCCTTACGGATCTAAACCTACTGTATCTCCAAGTGCTACAATTCTTGTTCAAGAAATCATCTTATTGGGCTTTAAATGAAGTCAGAATCTCTTGCTGCTTCAGTACTAATAAACTATCCTGTTACTCTAGCTTAGCAGCTCTGAGTTTCAGTGAGAATAAATTATTTCCTCCCCCCCCCAAAGCTTTCTTCGAAGCAGGATATTAGAGGAACAAAAATAGACACTACCACTACAGGAACAACAAACCAGGGACCAGCACAGACCAATCTCTCGCTTAAGCAAGATAATGTGACAATTAAAGGTCTTCAGGCCAACGTCACTGTACCAAAGGTAAGGACTTTTTGTTCAGCTTAGGGTCTAGTGCAAGGTGTCACTGCCCACAGCAGGGGGGTTGGACTAGATGGCTTTTAAAGGTCCCTTCCAACCCAAACCATTCTATGAGTCTATGTGTGCCTCACAAATAACAACTTGTTTTGCATCCCTATAAACTTCCTAAAATCTTTAGTGAAGCTATATGTTTGTGCTAGATAACTGATGTTTTGAACAGGATAGACTGTTTTGAGCTGCTCAATTTTATTATGGTAGGTGTGCAAGTTACTGCCATGTCTTTGAATTATGTTTTCTCACCTTCTAGGTGTGATGGTTTTATCTTTTTTTTTTTCCTCATTGTACTGAGAAGCATAAGAAAAGATTGTATCAGAAATTAGTAATGTATAGTTAATATAGCATGGTTTTTTCTAAATTTCTTTACTCTTTGGGGGAATTTTACATATAGGTGAACCTGTGTTTACTACAAGCCTCTGTTGATGAATCCCCTGGGGTTTCCTCTGGCAAAACCGTGACTCACGTTTCTTTAGTAGCTTTGTGTTTTGATAGAATTGCTACGCAAGTTCGTATGAATAGGTAAGAATAATACATATCTCTGTCTGTGGCCCTTTCTTCTTAAGGTGGTCCAAAGACTTACAGTCATAGCAACTTTTTGCAGTTCTGAAGAGTATTTGTAAAAGTTGACATGACTGAGTTAAGCAATAAAATGTCCTTTTTTTTTTTTGTTTTACAATTTACCATCTAATATCTAATTAGAAGTGCAGTTTCTTCAAGAAGTGGAGAAACCCTTCTGTAATAATTTTCAACGTTCAGTTACAACTCCTTCATGCTTATATGTACAAAATAAAATTTAATTGTTCGGTATTTTTCTACCAAAGCACCTGTGCCTTCTATCTTACAAAGAATTATTTTTAACACTGCTGTGCCAGTGTCACTTAAAATTTTAAACAAAAATAATCAAATGAAAGATGTCTATCTGAGATTTGCTTAACTGTTTGGGTGTGGTTTTGGTTTTTTTTTTTCCTCTCTTATACTCAAAGAGGTATAGTTGAGGAGACTTCAAACAATGCAGAAATGGGGCGGAATTCTGTCACATTCGATCGCTACATCCAAACCAGTAAAATGCAACCCCAGTCTTCTGGCTCACTGAGATCAAATGCTGGAGCAGAAAAAGGAAAAGAAATTGCTGCTAAATTGAATATCCATCGTGTGCATGGACAACTTAGAGGCCTTGATACAACAGGTAAGCCTTTTTTTTGTTAAATTGTGGAAACGCCAGTTTTCATAGAACCAATGGTTATAGTTGGCCCTGATCTTGTGGTTTGGTTGTGGTTTTTTTATCAACACAGGTAAGAAGAGACTTGAACCTGGAGATTTTGCAGATTCTGTAGAAAGAAGTTTAGGATAATTACTCTGAATTGTCTGTTATTCTACTAAAGTGCTAGATTTACATGTAGGTAGAGTGAAATCTGTCAAGACGAGCTTCGTAGCAGTTTGTGTGGCAGATGGGTTGCATTGTAAACATTGACATGCACTGGTAAAACTTCAGGCCTGGGCTCCCAGCTGGTCTCTTGTCAGCTACCACGTTTTATCGCCTGATGCAGGGAATGAATTATCCTTATTTGCTTTTTTACTACTTTCTAACAATTTCAGTATAGGTATAATGAAATGGCAATTTCAGCATGACAAGCTGTAGTTTTTTTAATGGTAGCAACTATAAAACTGAAAATGAGATCTACTCAATTCTCGACTTATTTTTTTATGTTAAGGACATTCCTTCAAGAGGCTATGAACTAAATTCAGCTGCTATAACTTCTGATCTTGGAAAAACTAACCTGGAAAAGACGACCAAAAGTAGAGGCAGTTTTTGTTAAAACTGATTTAATTTTAATGGAATCTGTACCAGTTAGTGCCATGTTTTACTCTGTCCATAAAGAATAGGAATCTTTAGGACATGAGGAAGTGCTCTGTGAAACAAGTAGGATTAAAAACCACACAATAAATATAACAAGCAAAAAAACCCCACTGCTGTGCAAAGATGAGTGAACAAATTAAAGTGGAGGAAAACAAAAATAATAAGATAACATTAAAATGTGTAACTCCACTTTTACTTAGTTATGGACAGAATCTGAGCAGTGGTGTCCTGTGTTAGGTATGCTGTGCACGTTCAACAAGGACAAGTAATTTTTGAATTCTAACCAAAAAAACTCATCATCTTCTCTTTAAAAGGTTTGAGAAATACCTTCTAGGGATATTAGCATTTCACATATACTTCAAAAAGTGATTGCAGTTAAAAGTTGCGAGCAGAGACTGAGGATTGGAAGGGATATAAATTGACTCAGTATAGTCCTTTTCTCCACATATTTGACATTTTAGCTCTGTGTATAAGTTAATAGGCAATAGGTATAAAATTATTTAAAATGTTCTTTCAGAAATGTCACTAGAAAAAGGGATTTATATTTAAGCTACATCCTAACATCAAAGAAATGAAGGTGGCATAGTCCCATGCTGGATCTTAAACAGCAAAGATCATCATGAATTAAAGATTGTGCTTGAGTCTGTTTGCTTAGGAATCAGTGAGACTCTGTGCTTTACGTCCTCCCAACACAGACACAGACATGCTTCCAACCGAGCTGCAGTCTTTCAATTAAAATTAGAACTTTATTTCTAAATATCCTTCAAGTGTGCTATAGTTCATGCATTTCTACTAATACATATTATCCAGGAGCACTGTCAGGAGCACTGTCATTTGCTAAACCGTAGGTATTTATTAGGAATGGATTTTTGTGTAAAGTAATTTCAGGCCAATTACAAGTTTCAGATAAAACCTCAAGAGCTTGTTTGTACACGTGTTTGGAACCATGACTCCAGAAAAAGATGAAGAAGGCAGATGTGTTACGATTGGGAATGTCTCGGAGTTTTAACTTTATGTTGCTCAGTCCTTGTCTTTCTGAACTTAAAAGTTACACTGCCCAAGGTTTTTAGACTTACAAACTTACTTTGTTTTTTCTTGCTTATGCTTAGATTTTTTTTTTTTCTTCCTTTCTCTCCTCTGCTCCGCTTTGAGGGATGCTAAAGGGGCAATATTCCCAAAACACTGTAAACTTCAGAGAGCTATTTGAAGATGTAAAGTTTTTTTCCTCATTTTGTAACAGAGTGGTAAATATATTTGTTTTCACAGATATTGGAACTTGTGCAATAACAGCTATTCCGTTTGGGAAATCAAAAGTTCTTTTTACTTTGGAAGAGTTGGATGAGTTTGCTTTTGTGGATGAGACAGATCAACAAGCTGTTCCAGATGTAACTCGGATTGGTCCTAGTCAAGAGAAGTGGGGTTGGATAATGTTTGAGTGTGGAATTGAAAATTTAACTATAAAAGGTAAGGCTTATGTAGGTTTTATGTTATTTTGCTTTTGAAACTGCTAAAAATTCTGTTGTTAGGTCTTCTAGTTTAGCAATTACGTGATTCTAAATTGCCGAATGTAGGTGATATGAAATAGTACACATCTGTTGTAAATAAATTATAGCCCATAGTAGATTATATAATAAAGAACTTTTAGTAACCAATACCACTTACAACAGTGTATGAAATAATTCGTTACAAATTGGTTTCAGCCGTTTCTAAACTTAAAGTGAAGGTAGAAATTGATGCTTTCACTGATCACTTAAATCCTGATCTTGCAGCCATACCTACAGTAAGTATCTGCATACAGGGCCAGAGTTTTGCTTTTAGGGGGGGAAAGCTACCTTCAAAAAGCAAAGAACTAGTATATATCATAGGAAGGTTTGGGTTGGAAGGGACCTTAAAGATCATCAAGTTCCAACCCCCCTGCCATGGGCAGGGACACCCTCCACTAGAGCAGGTTGCTCAAAGCCTCATCCAGCCTGGCCTTGAAGACATCCAGCCCTCTGATCGTTTTCGTGGCCTCCTCTGGACTCGCTCCAACTGGTCGATAGCCTTCTTATGTTGGAGGCCCCAGAGCTGGACGCAGCACTTAGGTGGGGTCTCACCAGAGCAGAGTAAAGGGGGAGAATCCCCTCCTTTTACCTGGCCACGCTTGTCTGGATACAGCCCAGGATATGATTGACTTTCTGGGCTGCCAGCACACACTGCCGGCTCATGTCCAGCTTTTCATCTATCTGTACCCTCAAGTCCTTCTCCTCATGTGTATTTTCTGTCATGCAATTTTACTCTTTTTCAGGGAATAGTGTTTAAAAACAGTCTTCATGTGAGTACTCTTAGTCTACTTGGAACAAATTATTGGAAGCTCTAAAACTAGCTGTTAAATTCTTGTATAAAAATTTTAGTGATATATTGTTATATAAAATGGTAATGCACCTTGTTTAACCAAAATCATAAATATTTCTCCTCTTAAGTGCAGATCTTTTCAGTGGGACATAACCTACAGAAGTTTATGCATGGCAAACATTTACAGTCTTGGTGTGTGTGCTCTGACAGGGGGAAGACAATCTGGAGCAGTATTATATAATACGTTTGGAGTCATGGGTAAATCAAGAGATACAGAGAGAGGTGGATTGCTTGCATCAAACAACTCTTCAGATTCTCCAACTGGTAGTGGTTATAATACTGATGTGTCTGACGATAACCTTCCTTGTGATAGAATAAGTCCCGCTTCAGATATTAATGGAAATTCCGTTTCAGATGAGCAGGTATGTACATATTATGTAGAAGTGATTGGTCTTGGGGTGTGGGGTTTTAAAAAAATGATTAACATTCACAATAAAAATACTGTCTACTTGCACACTAAACTGTAAGCTTTCTGCAAGGTTTCTTTGGAGAGACCTTGTCTTGGGAGAGTTGGTGGACAGCATTTATTTTCCTTTGCCTAAATGCATATGCACCTTTCTTACGAGCAGTGCACAATATGGTATGTTAGTGCATTTCAGTGTAATCACTTTGGAAAACAACTTCACTTTTGACTTTGTGTTTCCTTTTTTAAGGATGAAGGGGTTGAATCTGATGATCTAAAGAAAGATATACCCTTGATGCCTCCTCCCCCTGACTCTTGCAGCATGAAGTTAACAATCAAAGAAATTTGGTTTAGTTTTGCAGCCCCTACCAATGTGCGCTCTCCAGCACATATATTTTCAAGGTATAATTTTACCTGATTAAAAAAAAAAAAAGAGAACGACAATTCTGCTCCGTTAAATTGCGATTCTGTTTCGTAGATTCTCATTGTAGTTTTAATAACTTTTGAAGCTTTTGTGGAAATGAAAATTTTGGCATTTACATATATCCCAGTAACTCTTGCTTCCATTTTTTATTGTCATTTATGTAGAATTATTGCTAGAAAATTTTTAGCTAGATATAATTAAAAGAAGAAAAGAAAGATGAAGAAAAAAACAAACCAACAAAAAACTTAACAGTGAGACTGAAATGTGTGAAGGACAGAGGCAGGGGAGGGTATCTGCTTTGAGCAGGAGAGATGCTAGTGAAGGGAACCACTTGGTGCTTTTGATATTTCACCTGATGCTTAACCTGTGATCTTACTGCCATTGCACCATAAAATTCAATATAATCTTTCTTAGGTAGTTCTTCATATTGTGTTTGTAGAACAAGCCAAATATTCCCATCTCTCAGTAGTTTGAGTGCAGTGTAGAGCTATGAATTAGAAAATACTCTTTGTGATTTTCCTAATATTCTTGCCTTAGTCCTTCAGCAAAAGTCCTTCATGATGTATTGTGTAACCGTTAATGTGAGATTCAGACAGTGATGAGAATTTCAAGCCATATGATTTCCGCAGGGAATACAAATGGGAAAAGGAGGTAGTAGGAGTAGCAGGAGTGGATGGAATGAGTGTGTGAGTGTGTGAAACTTGAACCTGCCTTAAGTACTGTTTGTCAATTTTCATTTTTTGGCCAGTAAGTCTGTGTTTGTTACTTTGTAATGTTGTTCTGTCATATTCCACTTATTTGAATGTCATTGATAATAGCGTTAGAAAATCTTGCTAATTGCTGCTGCTGAACATGAATGTCTAATTAGTTGTATTTTTCTCCATAGGCAGCTGAACCTCCTGAGCACTGCAACGCCTGCAGTTGGTGCTTGGCTTGTTCCCATTGATCAAGTAAAATCATCATTAAATAAGCTAGAAACTGAAGGAACCCTGCGAATCTGTGCTGTTATGGGTTGCATTATGACAGAAGCTTTAGAGGTAAAGGACCTCTGTAAAATCAATAAGCCTATCACAATAGAGCAGTGTAATACGTAATAACTATTTGTTTGGGATTCTGGATACAGAGTCACGGAGTGGAAGGGGTTGGAAGGGACCTCTAGAGATCATCTAGTCCAACCCCATGCCAGAGCAGGATCACCTAGAGTAGATCACACAGGAACAAGTCCAGGTGGCTTTTGAAAGTGTCCAGAGAAGGAGACTCCACCACCTCTCTGGGCAGCCTGTCCCAGGGCTCTGTCACCCTCACAGTGAAGAAGTGTTTCCTCATGTTCAGGTTGAACCTTCTGTTTTCCAGTTTATGGCCATTGCCCCTAGTCCTGTCACTGGACACCACTGAGAAGAGCCTGGCCCCATCCTCCTGACACCCACCCTTTAGATATTGATAAGATCCTTCTTCAGCCTCTTCTTCTCCAAGCTACACAGACCCAGCTCTGTCAGCCTTTCCTCACACAGAAGGTGCTCCAGGCCCTTAATCATCTTCGTGGCCCTGCGCTGGGCCCTCTCCAGGAGCTCCTTGTCCTTCCTGAACTGAGGAGCCCAGAACTGGACACAGCACTCCTGGTGAGGCCTCACCAGCGCAGAGTAGAGGGGGAGGATAACTTCCCTCTACCTGCTGGCCACGCTCTTCTTAATGCGTCTCAGGATTCAGTGACAAACTTATAGCACCTCTTAAGACTCTTTTCTTCCAGAATTGGTCACAAGAACTTAGTATCTGTGCTTTTTGTAGAGAATCTAAATTTTAGTGGAAAAAAAAAAATCGGCTAGTATGAATACGTCTTGCACTTCTTACAGGAGTGTAGCTCTAGGTAAAATAACTGGACATTCACCTTTTGGAAGGGAAGAGTAAGAAATAAGACTGTAACATCTGCTATATTTAATGAATTATGAAAATGTGTTGAATTATGAAATTCTTGGGTATGTTTTGAGAGAAAATGTGAATTTCTGTGCTCCTGCAGCATATGGAATCATTGTGTTTAATGGACCCATTTGTTAGAGGAGGGGAGGGCAGGCATAGTGAGGGTGAAACATTCTAGCAAGAAATGCAAAGTAGGCAAATTTTTTGTTGAAAACTAGGACAGGTAGAGCTTTTGTGACAAATTGGGTTGTGGTCGATTTGCTAAGGAGCATTTTTTGTATGCCGTTATGTGCTCTTCCCGTACCTGGCACCATCTAGTGGGAAGTTTTTGGGATGACACCCACGATTAAGACCCTCTCCTGCGTTCTAAGATAGATGAGCCTAGTGTCAGGCTAGTTTTCTCTTGCACTCAAAAACCAGCCTTCGCAGCAGTCTCTTAGTGGTACCAACCTTCCTGTTTCTTTTCCTACGCTTTTCTAGCACTAAACCAAACTAGAAAAGTGCCTGTTTTTTCTGTAACTAGGAATAAACAGTTTCTTTGAAAATCTCAGGTGGTTGTGCATCTATGTCTTAGTCCAGAAGTAACTTTACAAAGTCTGCAATTTGAATCCAGCCTTCTGTTTTATTACTCCACGTAAATAAATAAGCACCAAGTATGATTTTTCACGTAGCACTTTTTAAACTAAGATCACAGAATCACAGAATGGTTTGGGTTGGAAGGGACCTTAAACACCATCTAGTTCCAACCCCCCTGCCATGGGCAGGGACACCTTCCACTAGACCAGGTTGCTCAAAGCCTCATCCAGCCTGGCCTTGAAGACATCCAGGGATGGGGCATCCACAGCTTCTCTGGGCAAGGTGTCCATGTGGCAGATCTTTGGTGCAGAAGTTCAAAATGGGGTTAGAAGATTGTGATATCATAAGGTGAAATCTTGTAGTTCATGAGCATGTTCTGTTTACAAGTTACTTTCATATGTGAGAAACTGTTTCATTTTAATCTAGAATAAAAGTGTGCACTTTCCTCTGAGAAGCAAGTACAACAGGCTTACCAAAGTGGCTCGTTTCTTGCAAGAAAATCCTTCGTGTTTACTGTGTAATATATTGCACCATTACCTTCATCAAGCAAATTACTCCATTATTGAGGATGCCACCATGGTGAGTCACCCTGTAAAAATGGAAATAACTCAGTGTGTTAGTTTCACGTGTACCAATTCTAATGTCTTAAATTAGGTAACAGTTTAAGGAAAGGTAACAATGAAGAAAATATAACCCTAACTTGTACGTATCTTTAAATGTAAGTAGATATGGCTTCTCTCATTTAATTTTCTATCATATCTACTGTTTTTGTTGTGGCCTGTGTATACGCTTAATCTTTATTGAACTGTTTTATTAGTAAATACATGGGAAATCATAAGCCAAAAAGGCATCTTTAGAATGTTAATAGCCTTTTTATCAGATGTCATTTTCCTTAAGGATAACAGCAAAGTAGTAAAAATTTCCATCTGTCATTTTAAAATTGAATAAATCTCAGTTATTAAGGCAAGTGCATATACTAATTAGCTTATTCCAGCTCTCTCCTCAAAACTAGTTTTCATATCTTTTAGAAATACTTGGATAATGCAGACAGTTTAAGAAAAGAGCTAGAATTGTAGAAACTTTAAGGCTTAAGAACCTAATCTTTTGAATGGTGGCTTTAGAATGTAAATGTCTAGCTTGTAGTGGTAAACAGTTGTTTGAACAAACATATTCAGAATAAGGAGGAGTGTTTGTTCCTGATTTTATGTCATTTTCATAATCCAATTCCACAGCTGTCAGATGTAAACAATACTTACTTCAGCATATTCAGCTGAGAGCCCAGTAGCACACACAATTTGTGGCAGAAACAGTACTGTTTGATTTGTGGTCAAAATTAGAAGCTTTTTTTTTTTTAGCACAATTCAATGATGTAATCAAAAATCCCTATTTTTTGCTTCAAATTTATGTTTTTAAAAGACTGCTTACCAACTGTGGAAAAAACCTCACTATTTTAATTTCAGTTCTGTTTCTACAGTCAGTGTAATGTTGTTGTGAGTTTTACTCCATAGTTCTGTGACTTATAATTAAGTGCTTCTAGTTTCATATTTAATAAACCCATTTCCTGTTGTTTATTTTTGGCCTGTTGGGCTGGATCCTCAGGTCATATAAATGAACGTATTTACCGTGTTCAACGGAGCTGTGATTTTTATCTGTTAGCACTGTGGCTTCTTATAACTGAAGGGACGTTGTGTGGTGCCCTCACGTTTCTATCAAAAGCCTCTTGAGCACAAAGATTTAGGGAAATTCTGACTTCCTTCCCCCCCCCAGTTTACTATAAAATACTGTGATAGGCATTGTTAATTGTTGTTTTTCTCTTTTTAAGAGTGATGGCCTTCCTGCCTTAGTAACTTTAAAGAAAGGCCTAGTTGCCTTAGCAAGGCAGTGGATGAAGTTCATTGTGGTGACCCCGGCTTTTAAAGGAGTCAGCTTGCACAGACCAACTCAGCCAGTGAAATTGCTGACAAATGCCTGCCACGAGCATGAGGATGGACTTGGATTAGACAACGGAGGGGGTCTTCAGAGTGACACAAGTGCTGATGGAGCGGAGTTTGAATTTGATGCAGGTATGTCTTGTCTCCATAAAAGTTCATAGAGACAAGTAGTTCCTCTCAGCATTTGTATCTTCATTAGTTTTACTGCTTGACTACATTATATTCTTCTTTTTTAGAATCATCTTCATTTTGAAGCAACTGCTGACAATTATAGTATTATAATAATTGTTAGTTATTTTGGGGAAGAACAAAACAGGAGACTCTTCTTTCTTCTCAAGCTTTATCTTGTTATTTACTGCACACAATATGTCAGCCTAATTATTGGCTAGCTTTCAACTGGGATTTGTTGTGCAGCTTCTGACCTTAGTTAAAAATTGTAACATGCAATTCTATGAATGCTCCCAGGAATAACTTCAAACCTGCCTTATTTGTTCTTTGTGAAGACGTATTTTCACAAAACCTTTTTTCCCTCATTTTTACTGCTTCACAGGTGGTAGATTTCTGTTGCCAGCTTACACATTTCCAGTTTAACATAAGCTACTGATTTAGCTTTGGATTTGATACAGGGCTGTCTTAAGAACCATAGACAAGAAGGGCATAAATAAATACATGTTGTTGCAGTACTCTTTTCTGCTGTTTAGAGTTGACTTAGTTATGTTGTGTTTGTAGGAGCTATGGGCAGTATTACAGTCCTCAGACATACAATGTTTATATTTTTTCAAGTAAGAATCATGTAACTTTGTGGAAAAAAATATCTTTGAAAAGCAGGAGGAGAATAATCTGCTTTTGATTAAAAGCCAGGCGGGATTTATCAGACTTCAGATGGCAAAACCAAGGATGTTTGTGTGTGAAACTTGTATGTAATCATTGTTGCAGTTTAACCCCAGCCAACAACCAAGCACCACACAGCCGCTCCCTCACTCCCCCCCACCATGGGATGGGGGAGACACTTGGCAGAGTAAAAATGAGAAAACTCATGGGGTGAGATAAAGACAGTTTAATAGATAAAGTGTAAGCCTCACACGCAGGCAAAGCAAACAAAGAATTCGTTCACCACTTCTCATCGGTGGGCAGAGGTTCAGCCATCTCAGGAAATCAAAGTTCCATCACACATAACAGTTACTTGATAAGACAAATGCCATCACTCCAAACATCCTTCTGTTCCTTCTGCTTCCTTCAGCTTTATATGCTGAGCATGATGTGGTCAGCTCTCCTGGCCATGTCCCCTCCCAGCTTCGTGGGCACCCACAGCCTTCTCCGTCAGTAGAGCAAAAGAAGCTGAAAAGTCCTTGACTTAGTGTAAGCTTTCCTTAGCAACAACTAAAACATCAGTGTGTTATCAACATTATTCTCATAGGAAATCCAAAACACACCCCCATGGTAGCTTCTATGAATAAAATGAACTCTGTCCCATCCAAAACTAGCACAATCATACAGTATTATGGAAATTTTTGCCCCCTCCTCTAAAATCTGCTTTGGTTGAAAGAAACAGACCATTAGAACCAGTGAATTATTTTAATTTTTTTCCCCATGTATGTTGTTCTATTTTTCACTGAGACATTTGGAAGTGGCAATTTTGCTGCTGTCTTTACATTTTGCTTATAGATGGAATTCATGCAAATGTAAGCATCTTAATTCAAAAAGTCATCAGTCATGCCAGATTCAGCAAAAGAAAGTGAAATTCAGCAACTTTCTTTTAGATCAATAGCACAGAGCAACAATTGTATGACATTACAAGGACAAAACGTACTTGGATTATTAAACACAATCCAGTAGGCCCATGTCTGAGGTTTTCTTATTTGCCTTAAAACTGCCTTCAATTCCCCAGACAACTGTGTGTAGGTGTGTGTCAGAATTTGGAAGTTTATGACTGCTTGTAAATAAATGTACCTAGTAATAAATGATCTTGGTTCCTCATATCTGCAAATGAGACAAAATTGTTTGCTTGGTTCCAGCTACTGTCAGTGAGCATACAATGCTCTTAGAAGGAACAGCTCATCGCCCTCCACCTGCTGGAGGATCTTCTGGGCCTGTAACTGGTGCTGAGATCATGAGGAAATTATCCAAGGCTCACACACACAGTGATTCTGTTCTGAAAATAAAGGTAAGTTTCTAGCACCATGCACAAGGGGTAAGTAATTTGTAGCTGTTCTGTTCAGAAGCAATTCTGATGAATAAATGCTTGTCTAAAAAGTAACTATAACTAACTGTAACACAGGGAAGGAATGCTCCTTGCCCTATGGAGGTGGTGCTCTATCAGTTGGCCTATATTTTACGTGTGTTCTTTATTACTGTTCTTGCTGATTAACTTCAGAGCTATGCTTAAAAACTATATATATGGCATTGTTTAGGAATGTCCATTAACTTTTCTGGGTTTTAATCTATTTATGAACGCAGAAATGAGGATTTAACTGTCATTATGCAAAATTTAAGATTGACAAAGCTCTTCAGTAACTTGTAGTAAAATTAATGTGGGTTTGTTTTTTTTTTAATTCCACAAAGCTGGTAAGAAAATGGCAAGATTTTATTTTTACCTCTGCTTTCTGAACAGAAAGAATCTGTGAATGTTTGGGGGAGTTTAGGGGTTTGTTTTGGTTTTGTGGTGGTTTATTTTTTTGGTTAGTTTTTGGGTTTTGGGGTTTTTTTGAAGTAATTTGTTGCCCTCTATGTATGTTAGGCAGCTTGGTGGCTTGTAAGAGTCAGATGAAGACCAAATACAAATGAGGCTTACTGCAGTATATACTGTTCCTTCTGCAAACCTGCTTTAGATGAAGTTTCTAGGAATGAGATTTTTGTAGTTATTGTGTGCCAAACTCATATTCAGTCCAAATGTTGCTTCCTTTTTGCAGTTTGCACAGTACTCTCTTAATTCCTTTGTTTTCTTCACAAGGGTATACATCCATATCATTCCTTAAGTTACACGAGTGGAGATACAGCTACAGATTCACCAGTGCACGTTGGCCGTTCTGGAATGGCAGTCAAAGAAAGTCCAAGGAAAGAGAGTCTACTCAGCTATCTTACTGGGAGCTTTCCGAGCCTGCATAATCTTTTGGAAGGGACTCCTCAAAGAAGTACAACTGCAGTTAAAAGTAGTTCCTTAACAAGAACAGGTATGAGGTAGCATAAATAAGCTGCAGGCAGGGGAAGGGTTGACTGATTTTATTTTAATGATTTAGAAATATTTTCTCTGTGAGTTGTCATTTCTGTCATAAGCTGCTGCTACTTCCCCCTGAATAAGAACTGTAGTGTTTAATAGTAGCTCCTAGACATCGCTGCACCATACCATTTCCTAGAATCAAATAGCGAGTACATCAGTATGTGACAACTAACAAAATAAATAAAATGTTTTCCTTTATTTAGCCCTACTAGTTTTTGAGGATAATACATAATTATTTACGTGAGTCTTTTTGAATGAACAAGGAACTGAAGTGATCATTCTGTATTTGTAATTTTTTTCTTGACCTTGTTAGTACCTCTAAAAGCAGACTAAAACTAATGTTCCAGTAACTCAGCTTGTGTATTAATAATCTGAATGTTTTTAGTAATGGTCTTTTGAGAAAAATTCTTTTAGGTTCTATGATTATTGTTCAGAGTGCATTGTTATCATTTACATAAAGAAAAACAGATAAGTTTGATACTGCATTTTCTCTAAAACCTCTCTCCTTTGCTGTCAGGGAATGAAATGTTTTTCAGGAAGAAAGGTATTTTGGTTTCTTAATGACTCCTTTCCTCTAATGGTAGAGATGAACAAATGCAAAGATACCTGTAGTGCAACATCCATTAGTGTCTTAGTGTAGTTTCTGTGGTAGCACCTGTAGGGCTGCTTGATACATAATGTACTGGAATAAACCTTGAGGATTAGTCTTATCTTAATAATGTGTACTCACTGTCAGTAAAATTATGTGGTGTTCCTGGGTTTTGCTGACTTTGATAGAACAAATGCTAAAATTTCTTATTTACCTCTATAGGAAATACTGTGGCCACAGACATGTTATCTGAGCATCCTTTGCTGTCTGAACCATCTTCTGTGAGTTTCTATAACTGGATGTCCAATGCTGTTGGCAACAGAGGAAGTGTAGTACAGGAAAGTCCAGCCACCAAATCGGGTCACAATAGTCTTCCAACAGGTATTGCTAATTACAGCCGAATTTGAAAGATTATTCTGGGTTGGCTGTTCCTGTGTTTACCACGTTCTATAGAACAAGGGATTTAACTTCAACAGATATAAATACTACTTGTGGGACTTCTCAGCAAACTGGAAGATGAGCGAAAAATGTGATTTAACAAAACCGTTGTTTTCATTTCCTTTACCATGCCTCCAAAAATCTAACTTTATCTTACATTTGGAGCTGTAAATGTAGCTTACAAAACCATGTGTAGCTGCCAAAAGCTAATACATAAAATCATCCTCAGTTTTAGAGTTCCTTGGATTTTGTTAGTTACTCTTAATCTAATTTGAATATGCTGATTTTATAATGAGGATTTTGTACACTGGAATCCTTGCTTTTCCTCGGTTCAGTTTTGAGCCTCAGCATAAACATCTGTTTTGAGAGTAATGTTTTTCAAGGATGGGAAGTGGTTTCTGATATAAGGGAATGGAGAAAAGATACACTACTGAAAGACTTAGGTGTATTAAAGAAACAGATATGTAACACTGTATTGCATCGTATTAATTATTCTTGTGTGTCATCATTCATAATCCTGAAATGTGTGTATCTTAATTTTCATTTTCAGTAACACTGAATTTGAATGCTGCTTCTATTAACAGTCTTTCAACTGTAGTGTGTTAATCTGAGGCAGTAGTAAGTTGTCATAATTTGTTTTTAATGTTGAAGAAATAGTCCGATCCTGCAAAACATCTTTGTGCTCTACATGTTTTCTCATGCTCTGATTTTCTATGTGTATTGCTTGTGTTTCTGTGTAATTAATCTTGCTGAATTAATGGAGTTGGTGCTGTTAAAATTTGCTGTGGTGTTAGTGTTCCATGGGTATTTATTTTTCAGGTGTGGCACCCAATCTTCCTACTATACCCTCTGCTTCAGACTTCAACACAGTTTTGTCTAGTGACCAGAACACCCTGGATGGCACACACTCACAGCACAGCACCAGTCAGGATGACATTGCAGGTGTAGAAGAGGGTAACCAGGGGTTTCCTGCTGTCCAGCTAGCAGATGCACAGGTAGGTGTGTTTTGGAGTTCTGTAGGGAGAAACTACTCAAAAAAAAAAAAAAAATCAAGACAGTGATGAAAACATCCTGATCTTGTGCATGTTTCTTATGCATTCCTGTGCAAAGACAGAAGGCTCAAGAAACCTCTGACATGTCCCATAACAAACTTTATGAATGATGGTTAACAGAGCATTGTTTTCTAACTTCAGAGAACATATTGGAGCCTTTATGACAGTTGCCTAGTTCTCCAGAGTACTTTTTACTGGGGGTACATGCAGAATCCTTGCTGCCATAGCTAAGTATTCAATGTTAGCTTGCTGTAGTCAGTTCTTTTACTCAAAAAGTCCATAAAACTGCTTCTTTTTATTTTTCTTCTTTTTTGTCGTACAGCACTGTCAGTAAAACTTTAAAATGTTCTATGTTATGTAGCTGACATGGTAAATACTGTAGATCAAATGATGGAGCAAGCATATAATTGTCTACACCGCAAGAAGTAAATCAGTGGGGTTTGTTTCGTAGGTTGTTTTCAAGCCTCTTCTAAGTTACACGGGAATTCAGTCTCAGGATTCAATGCCACTCTGCTACAGAATGTACTTTGGAGAGTACCTGTCCTTCTCAGGAACTTTGGACTGCCTAAGAGCAGATATTGTTGATTCAGATACAGCAAAGGAAAGAAAAAGTAAACGAGCACGAAGGTATGTTGTGAGGTGTTTGAAAATATGTATGTTGGTTAAAGAACAGAAATTTAGGTTTTTCATGTAAAGAGAGAATTCCAAAGTACTTCCATAGACTAAAGAACAGTCCTTTATTCTTTTAATCTTACCTGTTTTTTCTTCCTGTTAGAATATTTATTTTTTTATCTTCCTATGGAATGGTTTGGAAAATTTCAGTATTTAAACCTCAGCTACTTTTGAAAAATGGAGATTGGGGAAGGGAGAGCTGGTGGAAATAATAGTGAGGGAAATTTGAGAGGCTCTGAAATACTGTTCTGTAATTAATCCTGTAAATGAGGTTATTACTTTTGGTGTAAATGCTGAATCTTGACCGTGCCGGTTTTTGGCAAAGCTTTAGGTTATGATGGGAGGATTCCATGCCAAACTAAGTTTACATAGAACTGAATCATTACTATGTTAGTATCATGCAGTATGAATGTATAAAAGGTCATTTATAATACCTAGAACTATGGTAAGAAGGTGATACCCTAAGGGAAATAAAAGGTTGGATCCAGTAATTTGGATGTACCATATTTGAGTGCCATAAAAAAGAAAAAAAAGTAGTAACGTGCACCTTTTCTTTCCTTAGGCAAGGAGCTGTCAATCTTCCTCCTCTTGAATTCAAACCAGCTTTGATGTTAGAAACCTTCAGTATTAGTGCTGTTGTAATGGAGAAATCCATGTGCACACCTCATAACTCCACCAATGCCCTTTCTTTTCATGACTTGAATAAACGCTACTACAATACTTTCCACTGTAATTTTACCATTTCTTGCCAGTCCATAAGCCAGCACGTAGATATGGCACTGGTTCGTCTCATTCATCAGTTCAGCACAATGATTGATGACATCAAAGCCACGCAGACGGACATCAAACTTAGCAGATACACAGCTGGATCTGCCTCTCCCACGCCTACTTTTAAAACACGCAAACACAGAGACAACGAAGCTCTCGAGGAAGTCTCAATGGAGGTAACAGAGTGAACAACACTAAGAACAAACGAACAAACAATGAGAACAATAAAAAAGAGTCTCGAAACAAGAATTCCTTGGGGAGGTCAGAAAGAAGAACGTCTAAAGTATCCAGAAAAGGTTCAAAAGATGTAGTTGACCACATGACTATTCATATGGATGACTCTGATTCAATCACTGTGTCGGAACAGAGTGAACCCTCTGCTGAGTGCTGGCAAAATATGTATAAACTGTTGAACTTCTATTCGCTCATTTCTGATCCAACTGGGATTTTAGAAAAATCTTCTGAAACTTTTGGGCCAACAGGTAAAGTAGTTCCCAAATAATTGAGAGTGCGTGCTTTTGCTCAAGTGTCTCCTTCTAAAGCTTGATCGTGAGGTGGGTTTCAAAGTTGCTCACCCCATCTAACTTGGATCAAGTGGTGAGGATTGGAAGTGGGGGGGGCTTGTTAATTAGTTCACCAAGATGGGGTACAAAAGAAGCACTTCCTTTTCCTGGCTTATAGTATGCTTTGATTCTTTCAGTCCTAGACTTAGCCAAATATGTGTTAATTGATTGATTTTAAATTCAGTCCCTTGATATTCTTGTGCAGCTGGATTAACCTTGTGTTAACCTGGATTTGCAGTGGGTGTGGGTCTGTGTTAAAAGGTTAACTTTCCTGGTTAAATGTACAGAGTGGATTGTGTTCGTTCCTCCCAAGGTGCGGCTTTGTTTTCAGGTGGCTAATGCAAAGGCTGTGTGTTACCATTCTGTGAAAATATGTAGGCATATACGTAAGCGATCCTCAGGGAGGTAATTTCTGCCCAGGGAATGACTGAGCTAAAAAAAAAAAAGATCTGTGAACCTACCTTTGAGAGAAGAAAAGGTGAAATACTGGCTTTGTGAAGGCCAGCAAAGATTGCAGGTGTTTGGGCCATAATTTCACCCAAAACTTTGAAATCTGGGATGATCGTTGCTCTCTTTTTCAAATGTATTTTATCACAGCAGAGTAAATTTGAGAGCTGGCTCAGCATCATTCTTTTTGTTGGTGAACTGAGGTTGCTGTGAATATGCAGGGGTGGTACAGTTACTACTTAGGCGTATTTTCTTTGGACTGCTTTTAACTGAACAACGAAAATCTACGAAAATATCACGAGAGCTGCTGTTAAATGGAGGGCAGTATCTTTCTTGCACGGAATGTCATATCCAGAGCTATGATATCCGCACAAAATGTGAGTTTTTATACACTGTTTTTGTGCTCTGAGTGTTGAAAAGCAGAACTTGCTCATCCAAAACTAAATTATAAGAACGTTTGGCTGTGAAATGATCAAAAAAGAAACAGGACAATTGGAAACTGTCAGAGCATTTCTACTGTATAACAAAAAAAGTCACATAAATATGAATATTTATGTAATGTACTATGTATCTAAGAATAATAATTAAATCACATCACTCACTGTACCCATTGTCTCTTGGATTTGGTTCAGTTGCAATGTTATTAGAGTGGAATAAGTGAGGCACAGATAATTTGCCTGAGGAGTTTGCTTAATGTGCATGATGCATGATCCTTGGCTTCAAACACAGATATAAATCAGATACACCACAGATGTCTTACAAAGTATCCTTAAATAACTCCTTTGTACTTTTGTAGGGGTTCGAAGCCCAACCGAACCTGCTTGTAGAGTGGTGTTTGAGAACGAACAGGACAGTGGCAGAGACGCACAGAGGAAGCGCAGCCTAGTGACTTCGGAGCCCCAGCACGTGACTCTCATCGTCTTTGGAATAGGCATGGTGAACCGAACCCACTTGGAGGCAGACATTGGCGGTCTAACGATGGAGTCTGAGCTGAAGAGAATCCATGGCAGTTTCACCCTGAAAGAAAAAATGAAAGGTGGGATAAGCCAAAATGTTCTCTGTAACTGCTGGGTGGCAGCTTTACATGTTTATGTGTGTACATACCTATACCCAGTGTAATATGTTTTGTTTGTAAGTAGATGTACATTACGTCTGTGTGTGGGTAGTATAACGACATTCAACAAATGCTTTTAAAAACAGTTACCAGGATGCTGAAAGATTTTTAAAGGATGCAGGATTTTCAGAAAATGCCATGAATATCTCTTTTAGAGGATATTCGTCACTCCTTCCATTTTCAGAAGCTTTGTTCTTGCCACATTTAAATTACATATTACTTAATGTGACAACTAAAACTCTAATTTTTAATATATTTTCCTGCTACTGTGATTTTGAAAGCAGTAGGCATACTTGGAAGTATTTTACTGATATTTAATATCTTTTTTTCTTAAAGATGTTCTGCATCAAAAGATGACTGAGACATGTGCCACTGCTCACATAGGAGGTGTCAATATTGTCCTGCTGGAGGGAATTACCCCAAATATCCAGTAAGTATGAAGCATGACAATTCAAAATTGTTCACGTGCATAGAAGTGGTATCAGTTGTGTGACAGTAAAGGTATGTAGCTTAATACGGAGAAAGCACTGATGGTATGATTTTAGGTAGAATCTGTGAAGTCATAGTTTGGTGGCAACCATGCAGCTGTTGCAGAATTGAGCCTCAGTTTGCCTCTTAAGGCTAATTATTGCATGTACCCACTGACAGGAGGCTTTTCTGTGAAAGGCGTGTCTGAGTAAGCTGAGATGGAATATGGTGAACGTGTTAGTAGGTTTCAGTCTAGGGTAGCCAATCACAAAAGCCTTAGTTGCATAAATATGAATACTCCTGTTCCTTTCTAATTCTAGTAAAAGATAGTAGTAAGTTCAGAAGTGATTGTAGGATCATGGTGTGAATAGGTAAGTGACCTGACTGAAAACTCGTAGGTGACATGTCCTGTTGTAAAAAGAAATAAATTAAATTTTATGTAATCAGAGCTCTCTGCACTGATTTTATTCCATGTGGTGTATGCACAGAAACTTTACTACATCATGTGTATTGTTTCTCTTAAGCTTCTACTTGCTTTTTGAAGCTTATAGGTTTCACTAAACCATACAAGATTTTTAGGGAGTATTTAACCTACTGATCCTGATTATTCCTGTTTGAGATGTATATTGTTTCTTTAATAGATATCTTTTCAAGTCCCATGATGCATGATGCTTTGTGTTATTTTGACAGTTCTAATATCCATTCTATAAGTGACACACCTCTGCAGAGGCAGGAGGGAGAATCCCCTTCAGTGCATGCCCATCTTGAATGACTTGCTCAGCGTCCACTTTGCTGATTTTTTTTTTTTTTTTGCCAGGTTCACAGACTCAAAAAGGTCATGCTTTTTTTTTTTTGTTTGTTTCTAGCTGGACTTCTTTCTGTTTGAGTTGCAAAACACCACCAAAAGAGTTGAACTGCAACTCTTTGCAGTGTAGATCACCCTCACGAAGTTTGGGTGTTAGCTGGGTAACCCTCAGTATGTGATCTGCTTTTAGAATATTAATGTGGTAGAAAAGGGGCTAAATAATGTGACTTGAGTCTCTCCCTCCTTTTAATTCCTGTTCAGTTTGGAAGATGCTACATAGAACTTAAAACATATATAATTTTATTCGTGTCCCCAGATAATTAATTCTGATAAGCATGTTTCAGAGGGATAAATAAAAGTTCTAATCTGACAGCTATGTAGGGTTTCTGAAGGTGACTGAGGTTCTTCATATCTGTTTCACATCATAATTTTACTGAGCTTCCATGTAGGGAGGGTACAAAAGTAAAGGGGGGGGGTGAATAATGCTAAATCTTTAACAATGACAACAGCAACAAACCCTAACAAAACTAAAACCTTCAACTTGGTAAAACTGAAAATAAGTGTCATATTGTGGGTTACAAGTAATTAACTGACTAATTTTGCATGAATGTTTATTCTTTATTTGCTTTGTTTTTGTTTTTCTTGCTTTCTCTTCAATCTTCATCTGTAGACTGGAGGATTTTCCTACATCTCCTACAAGCACAGCCAAACAAGAGTTTCTGTATGTCATATTACTATGTTTAATAGTCTTGCAATTACCTCTGTGTTGTGTAGCTAGTGGCTGCATTTCTACTGTGTTTGATTGTGAAGGCAGATGTTGCTTGAATACATTTTAGTTTTAACATCTAATATTACCTAGACTTGCTTTTAATGTAGCCTGCAAAATATCTGTCAAAAAAAGCCCTTGTAAATGTTAACACTCCAGCATTAGGGGCGGATACTACACTCTGTGGTCGCTACTCTAATGCCAGAATGGTTTCACTGGCTTTCAAGTTCTTTAGATCTGCTTCTACACTTTTTTTAATGAGGTGAAATAACGCTGATAAATGTAAAGGTGAGATTTGCTTTGGATTTGGTAAGGAACTGCTGTGCTCTGAGTGATAGTACCTGTTGTGGTTTCAGCATGAAGAGGACCACTGCTTTTGTCCTTATTTACTTCTGTCCTACATTTAATTACGAGGCATTCTGACTAGGCTATGCTAACACAAAATATGTTCTTAAAACTATGCCTGTGCATCTACTGAAGTGGACCCTCGTCGCGTCCCCTAGATCCGTAGGTGTGAATGTGGGTCTTTTCTCTCACAGAAGAGGCAATGCTTGCTTTCCAGTTGCTTTCTTACTTCTGATGCTGAAGTCCAGAGGGTGTCACTGGAGTAGTAGTCAAGGTGGGAAATGGTCTGTTACACTATGACTCGGCAGTACTCTGAGAAGGAAGGTTATGTAGCCAAAAACTGTGAGGCTTCCCCCCCAACACCTCCCTCCCCAAGCAGTATTCTGAGCAAGGGTTTCTTTGGCTGCTTTAGACCACCAGTGCATATCTTTTTAGAAGGACTTAGTGCAACCACTGTTTTTTACAATGTTTGTGTATATTCAGTGTTGTGATAATACAGGATTAAATTTAAAATGTCCTTACAGATGGTAGCTATGGAAGGAGAGATCATGGTCTGTAAAACTGCAAGAGAGAGAAATTAAATATTCAGGTTTTTGTTCCTTTTTGTGTGGTAGCAACCTTAAACCAGCAAAAGAAAATACTTTTTTGCATAGTGCCTAACTGAACAGTTGGATTCATTGCCATATGACGCAGCCGACAAAAGTATAAATGATTTAAATGATTAGACGACTCCACGTAGGTTAGGTTTGGTGGTGAGTCGGGAACATAATACAGCCTCAGGTTAAGAAAGTAAACCCTTGATGGCTGGAATTAAAGGAAGGATCACTACCACTCAGGTTTCTACTACTACCTGAATTTTCATCTGAGTCTGTGGTAGTTCTTGTGTGTGTTACGGGTTTGCTACTGATGTTCCTCTGTCCTTTTTCTAACATTCCTCAAAAATGCGTTAGGTTGAGTGGTTGCCTTGTAGCCAGCTCTGTAGTGGAGCAAGACTTTTTTCACAAGTTTGTCTGGAGAGTGGTTATTTATGGAATTGATGTGAGAACATAGAATTACTTCTGAAAGCATTACTGGTATATAACTTAAATATCAGTTAATGATTTAAATAATATTCAGCCAGTTCTGTTACAGGCATATCACCATAGGTAAGCAAACTGCAGATACATAGCATGCACTGCTCATTCCAAATAAATGTACAGCCACGCTCTGCATTTCATTCTGTCAGGGAAGTAGGCTTTCTGTAGAGCAGACAAGTGACAGTGGAATTCATTTGTAGCATGAAATATGGAAATACCTTAGCAGAGAAGCACAGTTAATCTTGCTGAAATCTGAATCTCCTGCGACAGTTATACTGGTGTAATTTTTTTTTTTTTTTTTTTAAATTAAGCACCTAGAATGGAATGAATTCCCATGCTTGGCATTGATTTTGAATTGAGTACAGACTTCAACTCCAACGATGTTTACTTTCAACTTCTGCACAAAGATAGCTTAAGAGTAAACTGTGTTTGGTACAGGTCAGGAAGAGATCTTGCAACTGCCCTTAAGCTGAAAGTTGTTCTTGTGATGCTTGAATAGCTCATGTAGTAGTATTTTGTGTTACAGATTGGAAAAAAATGTATTCTTGATTGGCTTCACAATAGTTCGGTCAGAATGGTAGCAGGAATAGAGTAGCAAACAAGCAAATATCAAGGGAATAATATGATCTTTCTTCTTTGAGATGTTTGCTCTTAAGTATGTTTATTTGTATGATGTTTTTCTGAAACTACTTGTGAATTAAGATTTGCTTCCTCCTTCATATTTGTGTAAGTTCTTCAAATATTTTGAAATTGTTTCTACTTGACAGTCTACCCTAAAATACTAATCCATAACTGCTTTAGGTCGCTTGTAGCTCTTGCATAGCTGTGCAGATCTGGAAATGTTTCTGGAGCTTCAGTAAATGACTCTGCTGTTGAGAGGCCTGTGGTTGCATTACAGTGCTGTGTATCTCTTCATTATAAGCAGAAGGATGATGTTCTTTTTGTGTGTATTTCCACACCTGGGATCCTTTGGGCTAGCTGATATTTTAACAACAGAATAAGGAGCCCTGTATTAGGGCTTCACAGAAGAAACAATGCTTAGGGAGTAGAATTCATAGAATATTTGCAGCTTTCATCATGAAACTAAACTGTCTGTAGAACAATCTAAGTCATGATACACAAAATATTTTAGTTATACTCCTTGAAATTTAGTATTTGAGAAACTTTCATTGAATGTTGCAATTTTATAGAGTCTGTTTTTCAGAGATTTTAGCTAATGTACTGCATCTTCCCAACTTTGTCTTTCTCTTTGAAGCTGTAGTATTCTGTGCTGTCTGCATAATATACTTCCATTGGGTAACCCTCCAGTAAATGACCTTAGATGAGAAACAGTAATGTGTTACCCCATGTATCTTTTTTTAATGGGAGCTTAGTGAATTCCAATAGGCCAAAATTTCATTTTCACATGAAAAACTATCAGCTTTGTGCAGCTGTATTTTTATCTTGGGTAACCATTGTAAACCATATCCTCTTTGACATTAAAATAAAGTTTAGACTTCATATTTTGGCATAGTATGTGCCAATTAAACGTCGGTATTGATTCGCGAACCCATTATCACTTGCTTTGTATTTATTGCTAAGTGAGTGTTTCCTCCATTGATCTTTTGGGATGCTAAAATCTGATTTTACTAAGTCTTCTTGTGAAAAGGATGATTCAATATTATTCCTGCAGAGGAGTTGAAATGGAAGGCTCTTACTTGTTTCCGTGTGTGAAAATTTGTCTGTGTACGTGCAGCCCAGTGTGTATAAACTCCAGTGATCTTGCGTTATGCAAGAATAACCGTTTAAGAGGTATTTTTGCAATGCATGACTTGTAGCTCTCTTCAATGTAGTGTAGTTGTTTGTGGCATGTAGTGCATCTGTGTGTGAAAAGTGAAAGAAAAAGGAATGTGTATGTAGTTTATAAATCACGTGAATATTTGAAAATTCAGCTAACACTTAAAACCCATTTTTACATAAACCAAGAACTGTTCTGGAAGACGTACAAATAAATCTATTTCCTTTTCTGTTAGAACTGTCGTGAAATGCAGTATTGCCAAATCCCAGGCCCTGTATAGTGCCCAGAGAGGGTTGAAAACAAACAACGCTGCTGTGGTCAAAGTTGGAGCCATCAGCATCAACATTCCTCAGCACCCTGCCACGCTGCACAGCATGATGGTGCGCAGCTCTCACCAGCTCTCCAAGCAGATTTCGGATCTCATCAGGCAACCCTCAACTGCGTGAGTGTCGCTTGCATGGCATTTCTGAATGCTGCCCTTTGCCATCCGCTTAGGGGCTCAGGCTACTCTGAATAGAAGTGGGAGAGTCAGACTGGTCATCTGTCATGTCAAAATGTCTTATCTTTGTCTTGGTCAATAGGCCCCAGCCTACCAAAGAAGATGTTGCGACTCCTTTGCCCTCTGAAAAGACTCCAACAAGTATTAATCAAACACCCGTTGAAACAAATGAATTTCCACAGCTACCAGAAGGCTTAGAGAAGAAGCCTATTGTTCTGAAATTCAGTGCCATGATAGATGGTATAGCTATTGGAGCCGCGCTCTTGCCCTCTCTGAAGGCGGAATATAAGATGGGAAGAATGAGGAGTCACGGAATGACAGGTAACAGTTCCCTGGAGTGTTAAAAACTTTGTGACTTTTAGTTTGGCCTTGCTAGCAGCATCCAAGGGGTCTCGGTGTTCTGTTGAGTTATACCTGGAGCTTTGAACTAGTTGCTGTCAGCTTACTTTTTTGACTGTAGACTTAATTCAGGTGGGGCCATATAGAGAGTTTACACTGCTGTTAAACACGATTGCCAGAGACAGAATACAAGAGCAGCTGAAGACGTGTGCATTCATATGTAGCTTCTTCCCAGGAAGCTTTCCTCTGCTAAAATCAGTTCATGATCCCTGATGAATTGAATTCTGATTCCTAAGGCTAGTTGAGAATACTCTTAACAGGGCCTCAGTACAGATGAGGCTGGTTGTGTGACCCCCTTCTCCATGTAATTACAGTGAAGTCTTCATTTTCTTTACCAATTAAGAGCGCCCAGAATCATTATATTTATAGGTCTAGAGGTCTTTGAACTTCAGTAACATTTTAAAGGTTTTTTTTAATTCTACAAATGTTCTTAAATACCAGGACAAAAGATTCTTTTGTTGGTTCATACTTTTTTCCTCCATCTTCCTTACACAGGTGCCCAAACCAGATTTAATTTTGAGCTTCCAAGTCACAGATTGCGCTTCACTTCCAAAGTCTCTGCCACTGATATGTCAACCATTCCTCCTTCAGCAAGTCTCAACCTTCCTCCTGTCACTATGTCAGGCAAATATATCATGGAGGAGCATGACACTTACTCAGACCAAATTTGGAGCATAGATGAACTACCTGCAAAACAAGGCTATTATCTACAGGGGAACTACTTACGTTGTGTGGCTGAAGTAGGTGTTGCAGACAGTAGTCATCTTTGATAACTTGTTATTTCCTTTCTCTTACATTTCTGTACGTGCATCTTCGTCTGATTTTGATAATCTGCCTACTCCAGAACTCTGATTTACAGGTTGATCCTAATGCAGCATTTGCAGTTGCATAACACTGGAATAGAACTTTGTCAGTCCTTGCTTTGATGAGCAGCCAACGTATTAAGCAGTCAAGACCACTTTATCAGAGGGTTTTGAATATGTTATTTTGTACAAATAAGTAAGGAATATAGGTTTAGAAACGATTTTTGGAAGGACTGTTTCTCATCAGCAAAGTAGACAAAATTGTATTATGCTGATGATTCAAATAGAGTGTTACTTTACACTGAAAGCTTCCGCTAACCAATCAGATGATGTCTTGCATTTTGTAAAAAGAAATAATGAAATATTTTTTTAAATTTTATTTTTTTTAGAACTTGTTCATTTTTTCATTATTAGACAGCTCCATGGGTAGGAGTAGCTATATATATCCTTAGTAAATTATATAAAATTTTGTGTTTGACACAGTGTTCTACTCACAAGTTTTATTTGTGTACCAATTTCCAGAGTTACTTTTCACAGAGAGAAAAGTGATGCTGCTTAAAAAAAACCACTCTCCCTGCTGGGGAAAAGCTGGGGTCTTCTACTAATTGTGTTTCTTTAGCCTGGCATGTTTGTAATTGAAACTTATGATGTTTGTATCTTTCTGGGAGAAGTTTAATTAGGTGCTGCTCTTTGTTCAACCCATTTGAGTTATTTCCTGTCTGACCTTAGTGTCTTTTGAATTTGTTCAGCATTTAAATGAAAAGGGAGGGGCTGCTTAGAAAGGCAAAAGCCAAGTCCAAGTAGTTTTCGAAAACATCTGTATTTTAATCTCATTTTAAAAAAAATCTTAATTTAAACAAACTTAGGCAGACTCCAGTTCCTTTGGAATATTCTTTAAGCTTATATTGGACACATAAGCTTACCATGGAAGGTATCAGTAAACTTGTTCATCTACAGTAACTAGAATAATGCAGTTTTAGAGATTGACAGCTCATTTCTATTTTGTTCTGATAACGATTTACTGTTTGTAATTAGTAGCATTTTGCTTCCGTGAACATTAACCAAGTCCTGCATTTTATTGTCTAAACTAAACTTAACTCAGGAGAATAAACTTTTTCAGATAATAGTGTATGTCCTTCAGTTTTCTGATAGACATTCATAGCAGAAAAATTGCAAGATGAAACTAATGTTCTTTTTCTTAAGCCAATAACAGTATAACTGGACTTGAAAAGGTATGCCTGAAAACTCAAAATACACTGTTTTGAAAATATAGGTATGGTAACTGTTTTCAAGTTTCATTCTAAAATCTTGTGTTTCTGCAGGTTGGTTCCTTCGAACATAATCTCACCACTGATCTGTTAAATCATTTAGTATTTGTGCAGAAAGTGTTCATGAAAGAAGTGAATGAAGTGATACAGAAGGTTTCAGGTAAGCAGACCACTCAAAACCACCTGTAAGATCCTTAGACACTGTTTGATGGCCACAGTATATAGTTCTCTGGATTGGCTCTTTGTTTCACAGATGCTGTCATTTCACATCTAGCACTCCAGGCAGCACCAGGGTGTCAGCAGCAGAGCTTGAGTTTGAAGTAATCACAGTGGGTCTGGAAATTTTTGTAGCTCTGTTGAAAACAAGACATTTTATGGGGAAGCAGGATAGTTTGTCATGCTGGACACCAGCCTCCGTGTCTGTCTATGACATGACCTTGACTGGTTTGCTCTCTCTATTTACTTGCTTCACCTGTAAAATGCAGATCATGATGTTTCATTTTTGTAAAATAATGTCAGTGTATTCTTTCAAAGGAAAACAGCTGTGTCCAGGGAAAATAGCATCAGTACTGGTGTTACTCGGTGTCTCCTGATTCCTAGCTCGTTGATTCTTTGCAGATAATGTCTTTCAGAACTGTGTAAAAAAGGCGTTTGGCTGTTCATTAGATTGTTTTGTGTATCATGCTGTATACTCCTTACAGGCTTTGAGCCTTCCTGTGGAAGGTTTCCCAGGAGGGAGGAACATGACTCTCAGTTCTTAGTAGAGAGTGATTAACTATATGTAACAAGCTGAATCTGCACCTGTGTCTTCCATCTTCAATCTATATTTTTTTAAATAAATATTCAGCTAGTTGCTGTTCAAAATAAGGCTTAATTCACTGTCACATTTTTATATATATTTGTTTTACAATTTTTTCATTGTTATAACTCTGAATGTGCATATTGAATGTGTACAGGAGGAGAGCAGCCAATACCTCTTTGGAATGAACACGATGGCACGACTGATGGAGAAAAACCAAAAATTCTTCTGTACTCATTGAGCCTACAGTTTAAGGTAATCTTAAGATGACAAAACAGTGCTCCTGCATGAAGAAAAAGACCTTGAGTTACGTCCCTGTAATCTTTTAAAATAGCTTAGTGGTACTGCATTGTGAAAAATGATTATATCCTCTTTTTATGCTGCTCAGTGGAGAGGATTTTTTGGGTTGCGTTTTTCCCCCCCTTCTCTTTGTCTCTGAACCAGATCCTAATAACCATGTAACTCCCTATTCAATAGGGAATTCAAGTGACAGCTACAACTCCCTCAATGCGAGCCGTGAGATTTGAAACTGGACTGATAGAACTTGAACTCTCAAACAGACTGCAAACCAAAGCAATGCCTGGAAGTAGCAGCTACCTCAAACTGTTTGGGAAATGCCAGGTGGATTTAAATCTGGCGCTAGGACAGATTGTTAAACATCAGGTTAGTGCTCGACATCTGTGTATGTGGTGTTCTAACAGCATGTGATTAAAAAATACATTGCCAATCCGAGAGGCTGTCTTACACTGCCATTTTTTTCTGAACTGGCTGTGGAATAGATATAAAGTGTAGGGGGCCCCTGGGGGAGGGTGTCAAGAAGGGACTGGAGATGACTTTTCAGACAAAATGTTCATTATGAAGACCAGTGTACATGCAGAAAAGATGGAAGGAGTCAAGTATGGAGTTGTTTTTTGGTGTGGGGTTTTTTTTTCTTTCTTTTCCATGCTATTAACATCTTAATTTCATGCTCTTAACCTATTAGCCCTTTGCAACAGTAATGGCCTAGCTGCTGGGTCAAGTTCAAAATTTTTGTTGATATTGCTGCTATTTTTAAGTTGCATGAATGAATTAATAAGATCAGACAAGATCCAGACCTCACTAGGCCTACATTTTGACCTGGTTTGTCTGTATTAGTTTGATAGTTCTAGCTCTTGGATTCTTAAACCCACTGATACCTGGAATCACTAATTCTATGATACAAAGTTATTTTGTGATGCCTTGAAACAAACAAATACAGGTGTAAGAACCTATTAATGTACTGTCACAATAGATGATCTGGTTATATAGTTATTTTCATTAATATTGTATGATAAATAAGGAAAATATCCCTGCAGTCAGAATTTAATGTAAGAAAATTGAGTATCCTAGAAGGAGCTTTGGCTAGCAGATAAAGAGGGGAAAGGAGACAGCTCGTTGTAATTTTACATTTTGTCAAAAGCAATAATTTGATTATTTTTCCCTGTCCCTGAACTCCCCCCTGCTGCAAACCCCTCCCCCTTCTCATTTTTTGAACATTTTAAGGTTTATGAAGAAGCTGGCTCAGACTTTCATCAAGTTGCCTATTTCAAGACAAGAATTGGATTAAGAAATGCGCTCCGGGAAGAAATCAGTGGCTCATCAGATAGAGAAGCTGTGCTCATTACTTTGAACAGACCAATTGTTTTTGCTCAGCCTGTGGCCTTTGATAGAGGTATTGAAGAGACAAGTACTACAAATTTGTTTTCATGTTGATGAAGCTATATATTTTTTTCAAAGAAGCTTGATTATTCAATATTTAGTATATTTCATGTCAAATCAAAATGTTAGGTATAATAAACTGGCTAAGAAATGAAGAGATCTACTCTATGTTCACAGGTTAATAATTCTTTAGGTCAAAAATCCCCTTTTGTTGAGGTGATTAGGTTTCAGGCACATTGGAGGAAGTTGCTTTTGTAAGTCTTTACATGAAGATGAATAATGAATAATACTGAGAACAGCATCACTTTGTGTATTTTAATGTCTTAAGTGTGAAATGATCGGCTTTGTCCATCCTGTCCTGTGCGGCATGAACCTCTTCACTGCATCCTGCATATATGTGTTTGTGCCCACTGTTGTACACCTACTGTGTTAAAGTAATTTATTTAGTGAATGTGCCTTATTTTACGTGTTGCTTTCAATTAAGTATTTCTGGTTTCTTCATAAAGCTGTGCTATTTTGGCTGAACTACAAGGCTGCGTATGACAACTGGAATGAACAGAGAATGGCTTTACATAAAGATATTCATATGGCCACAAAAGAAGTAGTAGATATGCTACCTGGAATCCAACAAACCTCTGCTCAGGCTTTTGGGACTCTTTTTCTTCAGCTGACTGTCAATGACTTAGGAATTTGCCTGCCCATCACGAGCACACCTCAGGTAATCAAAATGCCTGAAGCAACATGGCTACTGGTAGTCTGTTAAAATATCCATTTCTATGCGGTACATGGCTTTTATGTCCATGAATGTAATTTTTCATGTAACCAACACAAAAATTATAGGATGCTGACAACTGTTGTAGTGGCATTGCTTGTAATAGACATGGTGTTCTCATTTGTAGAAGAAGTAGGTTATGCATGTTTCAATTCATGTGCATGTTTTGGGGAAACATAGTGGATTCTTGTTCACACCACATACGAGCTCAGCACTTTGGAAAGTCCTTGGAAATGTTTCAGATTAAACGTATTTTCTTGAAAGTTTCCAAATTCCAATTTATCCTTCATTTTTCACATGATTATAGATAGAAAAACTCTGAAAACTGTTGGCTTTAACATGAAGTTCTGACTTGTTTGTTTGTTTAATTAAAACAAGGAATGAGAGTATGATTAACTATTTGAGATACAGAGAGAGATGTTTTTCAAACAGTTCCTTTTATTTAGGAACTCAGACTGGCTTAAAGAAAGATAATTAAAATGCAGTTATTGGCAAAAGTGTGTCATTGTAGTACTGGGTAAGTGTGACACAGGCTGATGTATTCTCTAATGTGCGATGAACTAGTTTCTGTGCTAAAGGAATGCCTACACACTGCATAGTGCAGTGTGTTAATGCAGTTTGTTCTGTAAGGGCACGTGCACTGCATTATTTTTCTGGAATGCCTTTGAGTCTTAAGTTTAATGATGCATGGCTCAGTAACACATTCCCAGGGTAATGCTTGCTGGCTGGGCAGTTTGCTGAGTTTCTTCACAACCAATGCATCATGACCCTACACATTCCCTAGTTTGACATTTAGCTCTGTGTGTTGATTCTTTATTCAGATAGAAAGTACCTAGGTCAGTGGACCTAGCTTTCTTGAAAATACCTGTGTTTGTTCACAGTTAAGAAAAAATTCTGTGCAGACTGGTATTCCCTCCGTTCTTCCTTTCTTAGAGAGGACTGCAGTTATGCCTGCTTCTTCATATGTAAGGTGAAGGTGTGATCCGCACCTCTGAAGTATAAAAATGAAAACACTACATTGCCAGCTGACAGCAGTTTGAAAATACATGAAGCAGTGGAGCATTATTAGGATAGATAATGTTAGATGGCTTTGAGAGAAAACCTTGGATTCAGAGACTGTTCCTGGGAGTATTCTTAACGGGGAATAATTCCAGAAGAGGAATGAATAATTTTAATGGCATGGAAGGAAATACTCATAATATGTAGAAACGTAAAGGAGTAATGAGGCCAATAACCTAGAAGTCACAGTGCCATAACATTCTGATTGTGAATCCTCTATCTGGCAGCTATGGACAAAGCAGATGGCATTTTATGCTGTTACATGTTACAGGTGATAGTAAATCATGAAAAACGCATTCTGGCTTATGAAGTCATAAGCTGTATATAGAACAGCATGTTCACAGTATTTCTGCTGGATCGAACAAAGTCTAGCTTTATAAAAGGCAATAGGCAGGCTTTTTTGCAGGTGAACAAAATTGCAGACCTTAGAATGCAAAGGGCTGGAAAATAAACAGTCAGTCTGTTTATTGAGGACTCTGCATAATTGCAGATATCAACATAAACCCTAAAAAGTCATGTAAAAATTAAAGCTACTTTCATTGTTATTCAGTCAGCTCATGCACAACCCTTCTTGGAGAACAGAATCAATCCTGGGCTTGTGTTCTGTGGTCATGAAGCCATACAGTCCATAGCCCTTGATCGTCTAGTCTGTGACCAAACATGGATCTTTCCTTTTCCAGATGAGTTTGGCCTCTGGTGCCCTAATATATTTATGGTGTAGGCGCTGCATTTACTGGAAAGCAACACTGCAAGACATTGTATGGACAGATGTGATGCTTTTAAAACTTTCTGTAGAGAAGGAAAAATACCAGATAGGAGAAGGAGATCGATTTTCTAATAGGGAAAACCCATGTACAATATCGCTTTGACTTTGCAGTGACCAGTAAACTCTGTGATTTTATTTTCCAGTCTAACCACACTGCAGATCTTGACACTGGCTCTGCTTTAGTCCTGACTATTGAAAGCACGTTAATCACTGCCTGCTCCTCAGAGTCTTTAGTTAGCAAAGGTCATTTTAAAAACTTCTGTATCCGCTTTGCTGATGGCTTTGAGACAAGTTGGGATGACTGGAAACCAGAAATAAGAGGAGATCTAGTCATGAATGCATGTAAGTGAGTGTGATTTCATACTGGACAATAGTATTTCAGATATAGATCCACTTTTACCCTTTCCCATGACTTCTAAAACTGCTGAACTTTCCCCTAAAAGATAAAGAAAAGACTTCAGCCTTTTGAAAGCAAAATAATGTGGATCTAAAAGGTTGTATTCCTTTGTGATTTTCCTTATTAATAACTTTGTTGCTGTGTGTCTCATTGTAAGCATTTAAGTTCTGTCTGAGAGATGTTGGAAGAGTTGGATGCATTGCTTTTATATGATTTCATAAGATCCCAGTAAGTTCTTAATAGTTTCATATAGATGATTTTTATATATATATATCTCTCTAATTATGGCAAAGTTTATAGATTTTATGTGAAATTTTCAGTTGATACAAACTTGGATATTACCAAGTAGATTCACTTTACTAAAGAGAAAAGTAATTCAGTGGGAATTAAAACTAAATCTCCTGTACAACACCACTCATGCTTTAATTGTGAAGGGCAAGAGATGGGAGTGGAGTTTGGGCAGGCCTGGGCTAAAGCAGTTTTGTCTGTCTAATCAGTGTGTGTGCTTCATATGCTTCATATAGGTGTTGTCCCAGATGGTACATATGAGGTATGTTCTAGGACAACAGGACAAGCTGCAGCAGGTAATACACTTTCTTAATAAATTAAATCCTATCTAAATAAAGTGTTCCTAAAATATGAAATTTAAATCCTTTAACTGTGTTGTAATTTAATTGGTGGTTTGGTTTTTGTTCTGCTTTAAAACTCAATGTTTTTATCTGCTCCATCTTTTCAAGCTATTCCAGGTTTTGAGCCACATCAGCAACACTGGCTTCAGATTTTTTTTTACCTGCAGGAAGACACATGCTGTATGTGTGTTCCGTGGTGGGAGAGTAGTCCTGTATAACAGCAGTGTTGTCCTACCGTTTCCTGTCCTGTTCCTGCCGAATCTTCCCGCC